GTCAAATGAGGGAATTGAACTAGACAAAGAGAGATCTCAGTTGTACTCAGTTTGACTATTGGATTTGTGTTTCCCAGTTTTTCCTGAAGCATCTTAAGCCCTGTTGGCCTTGCTTTTTTTTTTTTTTGGTGAGGTGATGGGGGTTAAGTGACTTGCCCAAGGTCACACAGCTAGTAAGTGTTAAGTGTCTGAAGTTGGATTTGAACTCAGGTCCTCCTGACTCCAAGGCCAGAGCTCTACTCACTGCGCCACCTAGCTGCCCCAGTCCTGCTTTTCTCATGGTAACAAAAGAGACCCTGCTGCTTATGTGAAAAAAAAAATGTTCACAGTCTTGAGTTTTTATTTCCATTAGTCAAGAAAATATATAAAGCTTTTGTTACAAGTGACCCATAGGACAGACTACTTTCTTACCTCAGTCTTTGTGAGAATGGTCAATGCCAGTTCTTGGTATTCAAATACTTCTGTGATCTCATCAGTTTGGCTGATGAAGATCATAGTCCATATATCTGTCCGTCCTTTGCTACTATTGTTCTCCCATAAGGTCTTCACAGAGGGTCAGCCCAATGTGCTAGAGACCTTCCTCATTTTCTCTTGATGCAATATGACCAGCCCTTATCTCCCTATCATACATTTCCTTTATGCCATTTTAATGAAGGTGATAAAAATAGCTAGCATCTATATATGACTTTAAAGTTTGCAAAGCACTTTGACAACAACCCTGGGAGGTTGGTGCTATTATTATTCTCATTTTACAGTTGAGGAAACTGAGGCAGACAGAAGTTAACTGACTTTCCCTATATCATATAACCAGTAAGTGCCTTTGGCAGCATTTGAATTCAAATCTTCCTGACTCCAGGCCTATCATTTTCTCCACTGTGTCACCTTGCTGACTATCTTTTACTCTTGTTCTTAAAAGTTCCCTACTGATTGTATGTTTACCTGCTCAGTCTCACTATGTTCCTCCATTGCCTTCTCTGTGATATTCACTTTGTTTCTTTGGAGAATGTTGTATGTCATGTTTTGCTGCCTTGTAATATCACTGGTAGAATGCTGATATTAAAAAGATGTGGTGTTCTGCCTGGGAAGATCTTTGTGTCATTAAAGAAGCTTTCTAGTTTCCTAAAGGCAATCCAGAGGCAGCCAGGTGGCTCATTGGGTAGAGTGCCTGGTCTGGAGTCAGGAAAGACCTGAGTACAAATGTGGCCTGAGACACTTACTAGCTGTGTGACCTAAGCAAGTCAATTAACCTCTGTTTGCCTCAGTTCACTAGGGAAGGAAATGACAAACCACCCCAGTATCCTTTTGAAGAAAACCCCATGGACAGTATTGACATGCTGTGGTCCACAGGGTCATAGAAAGTTGGATGTTATGACTGAAAGGCTGAACAGCAGTAAAGGCAATCCAGCATACTCTGATCCTGTTCCACTCTAGGCCCATCTCATTGTCCATTTGTGCTGCCTATTGTAGATGTGCATGTGTTCTCATCCAGTTACTCTTATCATCTCTTGTTTTTAGTGATGTATTTTCTATTGTCCATTTTCCATTTTGTATTATTAGTTACTTGTTTAAATAATTCAAGGATGAGATATTTCAAATATAAACCATATCTTTTTTGCATTAATTCTCCTAATATTTTGCCAATTCTAAAATTTGCTTCTACGAGTTGGTGGTCTTGTTGTGCAAACTTAAGTGTCAATAATTAATCTTTTCCGACTATTGAAATATAATGTTTCATATTTTTGTGTGTGATGTTATTCAGTGTCAGGAAGCTATGAATTCTTTTCTCGAAGTAATCGTGATTTAAAGGTATGAAACTTCTGAGTAGTTTACAAATAGTTGGCATCTCTCATCCCTTCTTTCTGAACTTTGCATTCTGATTTATTTCTTACCATCTTTACTTTTCCCCACCTTTTCATTGAAGTCACCAGTTATCAAAACGTATGTTGATTTACTTTGGTGTAGGGTGGAGTGTAGATCTTGTCAAGTTCTTCCTAAAACTTTTTCTACTTCTTCATCCTCTTCAACTTTTGTTAGTGTGTGAGTTGAAATTATTCTTGTGGTCATTTTAAAAAAATATTTATCATCAGTACTTCAATATGAGATACCAAAAAGCCTTAACATTTGTTGTTTCTATTTGCTTTTGGATGTACACTAAAACAAACATTCCCTTTGCCTCTTCGAGAGCCCATGAGTGTTCTTTTCCTTTAGTTGTAGCTTCCTTCTTGTTTTTTGTTTATAGCAAGAATGTCATGATTAATAGATTCACTTCCCCCACATTATGTCTATTTGTCTTTGGACGAGGGACTCACGTTTTGAGTTAGTTGTTGTTGTTGAGTCCTGGCAGCCTTAATTCCATATTTTGATTCATCCAGCTTAGCATTTTGCATGATGTACATGTAAGTTAAATAAATAAGGTGACAATATACAGCCCTATTATACTCCTTTTTCAATCTTAAACCAGCCAGTTATTCCATGTTCGATTCTAACTTTTGCCCCTTGGCCTGCATGTATAGGTTCCTCAGGAGACAAGTAAAATGATCTGGTGCTCCCATCTCTTTGAGGACTTGCTACATTTTGTTGTGATCCACAGTCAAAAGCTTTAGTGTAGTCAATGAAGCAAAAGTAGATGTTTTTCTGGAACTCATTTGCTTTCTCCTTAATACAGAGAATGTTGGCAATTTGGTCTCTAGTTCCTCTGCCTTTTTGAAAACCAGCCTCCTCTTCTGATAATTTTTAGGTCACATTTTGCTGAAGTCTTGCTTGAAGAGTCTTAAGCATGGCTTTGCTGGTGCGTGAAATGAGTGCAATTGTTCAGTATTTTGAACATTCCTTGGCATCGCCCTTCTTAAGGGTTGGGACATAAACTGATCTTTCCAATCCAGTGGCCACTCTTGAGTTTTCCAAATTTGCTGGCATATCAAGTGCAGCACTTTAATAGCATTATCTTTTAGCATTTTAAATAGCCCAGCTGCAATTCCATCACCTCCACTAGCCTTATTGTTAGCAGTGCTTCCTAAGGCCTTGGCTTTATTCTCCAAGATGTCTGGCCCTAGTTCAGTAACCACACCATTGTGAGTATTGGTTATGTTGAGCTCTTTCTGGTATAATTCTTTTGTCTATTCTTGCCACTTCTTAATCTCTTCTGCTTCTGTTAAGTCCTACGTCCCATTTGATCCCTACTAATGATCCACTGGAGAAGGAAATGGCAAAACACTCCAGTACCTTTGCCAAGAAAATTCCATGGACAATACTAAAATGATAAAAGAGATGACGTTGGAAGATGAGTCCCTCAGGTTGGAAGGTATCTAGTACACTAGTGGGGAAGAGTTGAGGACAACTACATGTAGTTTCAGTACTAATGAAGTGGCTGGGCTAAATCTGAAGGGGATGCTCAGCTGCAGATGCATCTGGCAATGAAAGAAAATTCCAGTGCTGTAAAAATTAATATTGCATAGAACCTGGAATGTAAATCAGTGAATCAAGGAAAGCTGAATGTGGTTAAACAGGAGATGGAAGATTAAACATTGATATATTGGGTATCAGTGAACTCAAATGGATGTGAATGAGTGAATTTAATTCAGGGGATCTCTATGTATACTAGTGTGGGCAATAATCCCTTAGAATAAATGGAGTAGCCTTCATAGTCAATAAAATGGTGGGGTTCAATCTCAAAAATGACTGAATGATGTCTATTTGATTCCAGAGGAAACCATTCAACATCACAGTAATACAAATTGGCCAAAGTTGATCAACTCTATGAAAACCTACGACAACTTCTAGAAATAACACCACAAAAAGATGTCACATTTATCATAAAGGATAGGAATGCTAATGTAGGAAATCAAAAGATAATTGGAATAAAAGGCAGGTTTGGCTTTGGGATACAAAATGAAGCAGGGCAGAGACTATAGAGTTTCGTCAAGATGACTACTCTTTTTCAACAGCCCAAAAGGTGACTCTACGTATGGACATCGCCAGATGGGCGATATAGAAATCAGATTGATTATGTACTTTGTAACCAAAGGAAAATACTTTCATTTAACTGAAAGGTCAGTTAAAACAAGACATGTAGCTGACTGTGGCTCAGATCATGAGCTTCTTATTGCAAAATTCAGACGTAAATTGAAGAAAGTAGGGGAAACTATCAAACAATATAGGTATAACCTAAATGACTACCTTATGAATATAAGGTGGAAGTGATGAATAGATTTAAGGAATTAGATCTGGTAGTTAGAGTGCCTGAAGAACTATGCACAGAGGTGTGCAGTTTTGTACAGGAGGCAGCAACAAAAATCATTCCAAAGAAAAAGAAGAGGAAGAAAGCAAAATGGCTATCTGATGAAGCTTTACATATAACTGATGAAAGAAAGAAAGTGAAAGGTAAAGGAGAAAGGAAAGATATACCCAACTGGATGCAGAATTCCAGAAGATAGCAAGGAGAGATAAGAAGGTTTTCTTAAATAAGCAACGTAAAGATTTATTATTATTTGTTCTAAGTCACTATTCTGTGAATATGTGTCTTAAGAAATGACACTTAAAACTCTAAATGTTCTATTTGTTCATGTGCCATGTGATAATAATGATTGCTTTAAGGTTTGTAAAGAGCTTTACATAGATTCTCGTGTATGTGCTCTTGGCTTTTCCTCTAGAAGTTAGAGTTTTGATTAACTAGTAACAAAAGACTTTGGTAGTGATGGTAAATAAATATAAGATCATTTTTAGGAGTTATGTTGTGGTCAGAAACTGTGGTCTGCCTCTGTTAAGGAGTAAAGACAGAATATACATTTGGAAATCTAGAAAGAAATATGAAATTAGTAACTGAACTCTTAAGATTTCTATTAAAGAACTTTTTTCACTGTAGCTTGTTGATATGAAATGAAAAGGACTGATTTAAAATGAAATTGTCTTTAGAAGGTATGGATTTATAGATGACTTTTACTACCTTTTTTGTTTTTGCTTTCTAACCACGTTCTTAAATATACTTTAATTTTTTTTAATAGCCACTAACTGAAGCTTTTCTGTGAAGATGGCAAACCTCTTGAGTGATAGTCTGCTGACTTATGTAGAAGAGGAAAATATTCCTGGCCTAAAAGCATTTCTAGAAAAATGCAAGGATGTGGATGAAAGAAATGAGGTAAGTCAAAGACTTATCATAGATTGTTTTTTTAATTGAAAATTTAAATTAGGTATTTTCATTTAAAAATAGTTTATTATTTTTATTTTTCAAGTAACAATTATTTTAAAAATATGTCCTTCTCACTATTCCCCCTCACTCTAGTGACCAAGTGAAAAAACAACAAAAAACTCAAAAAACTGTCCCTCAATATGTAGCTATGTTGTCCAGCAAAACAAATCCCCACATTAGTAATGTCTGAAAATGAATGTCTCTTCCTGCATTTTAAATTCATCACTTCTCTATTAGGAGTGAAATGGTTTGTTTTGTCTTCATTCTTTTGGACTCAAGGTTTACCATTGCTGTGATCGGAATTCGAAAGTCTTTCAGTTTTTTTTTCCTATAATGTCATCGTTGCATAAATTGTTCTTTTGGTTCCTGACTGTTGTTTTCTGCTTCAATTCACAAAAGTGTTCCCAGTTTCCTCTGAAATGGTCCATTTCATCATATTCAATAATATTCTATTACGTTAATATACCACAATTTGTTTAGTCATTTCCCATTAGAAGAACACTACCTTTATTATCAATTTTTGGCTACCGCAGAAAGAGCTGCAATAAATCTTTTTATACAAATAGATACTTCTCTATTTTTATTGATATCTTTTGGGGTATAGTCCTAGTAGTGATGTAGCTGGATCAAAGGGGATGTACATTTTGGTAATTTTCTGGGCATAGTTCCAAATTGCTTTGCAGAGTGGTTAGATCAATTCACAGTTCTGCCAACAGAGTACTAGTATACTTGTTTTCTGACAGCCCTTCCAACATGTCATTTTCTTTTTTGTCATCTTTGCCACTCTGGTGGTTGTTATATGGAATCTCAAAGTTGATTTAATTTACATTTCTACAGTTATTAGTGATTTAGAGCTTTTTTCCCACAGTATTTTTGATAGCTTGGATTTCTTCCTTTAAAAATTGCCCATTCATATCCGTTGATGATTTATCCATTGAGGAAATGGCTTTTGTCTTATAAGTTGTAAATAATTCCTTTTGTTCTTGGATGTGATACCGCTATCAGAAAAATTTGTTAACAGAGATTTTTTCCGGGTACCTGTTTCCCTTCAAAATTTTACTGCATTATATTTGTGCAAACCTTTTTAAATTTTATGTAGTCAAATTTGTCCATTTTATCTTTTGTGATCTCTGTCACTTGTTTGTTTAGGAACTCCTGTCCATAGAGCTGAAAGGTTAATTTCTTCCTTGCTCTTCCAACTTGCTCCTCTGATTATGCGACCATTGATATCTAGATTATGTGTCCATTTGGAGCTAATCATGGTATATGATGTGTGAGTCATTGTTCTAAACTTAATTTGTGCTGTTTGTTGTTGACTACTGTCCAATTTTCCCAGCAGTTATAACTATCCAGAATTAAGTCATTCCATGTGATGCCATGGATAGGGTTCTGGCTCTGGAGTTAGAAAGTCTCACCTTTCTGAGTTCAAATCTGGCCACAGATACTAGCTGTGTTATCCTGGGCAAGTCACTTAACCCTGTTTGCCTCAGTTTTCCCATCTGTAAAATGAGCTGTTCTGTCGAAAAGGCAAACCATTCCAGTATCTTTGCCAAGAAAACCCCAAATGGGGTCATGAAGAGTCAGGCACAATTGAAAAATGACTGAACAACAAAACCTCTGACTCCAAAGCTAGTGCTCTTTCCTTGACATCCTACTACTTAGAGAGGGTTGATTCTGTAGATTGATTCTATAAGTAAACTGGTATCATATGCAAAGAATAGTAATTTTGTTTGTTAGCCTGTTGCTTATTTATTTCCTCATTTCTTTTTCTTCTGTACTGTTATATTTGGCATTCAGCTTAGCATTTAGCTTCAGTGTTCATCAAGAATATTGGTCTGTGAAATTTCTTGTTTTTGGAAATACATTCTTAATTTATTAGAATTTTTGAGTTAAGTTGTACGTTAGTGTTTAGGGTTGGTGTTTTTTATTTCATGAATTGAAATTTGATTCCTAAATAAGGACATAGAGCCACAGAGTCAGAAGAGATCTTTAGGCCCTGCAGCTACTTAGCTGTGTGGCATCAGGCAATTAACTTAATCTTCCTAGATTACCTTAGTCTAGTCTGTAAGACAAGAGTGTTGGGCTCTGGTGATTTTTAAGGGCTCCTAGCTCTGAAATATATTTCTTCGACTCTATAAAATCATATAGTAGTTATATCATCTCTGTTTCCAGACTGATGAACATATACAATATAGACGTCTATTCTCTTCTTGAAAATCTCTGCCAGTTGGAGACTCTAAAGTGTTCCTTTTATGCTTCATTCAAATGGTCAAAGGTTAATTTTGTATGGATATTTATATGGATCTGTGTTCACATTAGTGTGGTGCAGGTCATAGCCCTTTTACAATTTATCATTCTGTTCAATTCTTGTTCATGGTTTTGTGTGTATCCTCCATAGAAATTCACTTAAAAACGTAAGCAAAAGAGGACCACAGAAAACCGAGGAACATTTTATATTTCTTTTTCATTGATAGCCATGGCCAAAGTAAAGTGTACCAATGGTCATTAGGCTTCTTGTGATAACCTTCTCTATATTTAACCAGGCTGATGATTATTGGTCAACAGACACCATTGAAGTTGATAACTGGACCTATACTGAAAGCCTTTCTAGTTTAGTAAAACCTGCCAGAACTCATTTTTTTACTGACATAGCCTCTGAGAACCTGCAGTCACTGCAGCCTCATAAGACAGGATTAGAATAGGACTTTTATACTAATAGGACTGTTAATAATTGAAGCAATATAAAAGGTGCTATCAGGGAGTTCTGTGACTGGAAAAGGAGATGGGCAAGTGGGCAGTCATGTTGCAAAAACAAAGGATAACTGATGTCACTTGCTCCGTTGGTATCTCAATTTAATTCAGTAACTATTAAGCTCCTACTATGTGCTAGATACTCTGCTAAGCACTAAAAATACAAATAAAAAAAGAAAGACAGCCCCCACTCTCAAGAACTCACAATCTAATGGGGGATGACAATGTATAAGAGGAGGCTGGAAAGTTAGGATCATGTTGCAGGGTACTCAGTGTGAGGGCATCTTGTACCACGAAGTTGAACCCACGAAGAACTGCAAGTGAAAAGTGAAGTCAGCTGTAAAATCTAGGTTGTGCCCTCTGTAAAGGAAGGTTTTGGGTTGATTTTAGTGTTCCATCGTCTAGCCATCCATTCAGAGGTCAGAAGAGGCTAAGGGATTTGGGAAAGTATTGAGTATATTTGAGGCTTTGTATCTAATTGCCACATTATTAAGATAAATAGAGGAAGTTAATTGCCTAATTTCAAATTATATTATAAAACAGTAATCATGAAAGGGGCAGCTAGGTGGCCCAGTGGGTAGAATGCTGGACCTGGAGTAAGGAAAACTCATCTTCTTGAGTTCAGAACTGGCCTCAGATGTTTAGTATCTTTGTGACTCTGGCCAATTTACTTAACCCTGTTTGCCTCAGTTTCCTCATCTGTAAAAAAGAAATGGAGAGGAAAATGGCAAACCACTCTAGTATCTTTGCCAGGAAGACCCCAAATGGGGTTACAAAGAGTTGGGTACAACTGAAAACAACTCAACAACAACAACAAATCATGATAATTATTTGGCACATGTTAAAAAAAAAGAATAGACCTGAGAAACAAGGTTAGGCAAGATCCCGAAGCATTTGAACATAGTAACTCAGTGTTAAATGAACTGAAAATATACTTGTTGGGGAAAGACTTTCTTCTTGAGAACTTACAGGAAAACTGGAAAGCAGTTTAGTAGAAATTAAGATTGGGACCATCACCATTTCCTCATGTCTGGAATGCACTCCCTCCTCACATTTGCCTCAGAATTCCTCACTTTCTTCAAAATGCAGCTCAAGCACCACTTTTTACATGACACTTTTCCTTAACACCCCAATTCCTAATGCTCCTCTCTTTAAATACCTTATGTGTCTTTATGTTTTTTGTTGTCTCCTCTAGTGGATGTAAGCTCTTTGATAGCAGAGATGTATTTTTTTAAAATTTTGTCCTCTGTATCTTCAAACTGTTGGTTATATAATAGGAACATAACAGATGATTATTGATTCATTGATTGTCCAGAACCAAATAGTAATCATTACTGGTTTAATGTCAGCTTAGAAGGAATCTGTAATTGGCCCCATGTTTAACAATTTTATTGGTAACTCGGATAAAAGTATAGATGGTTTGCTTATCAGATCTTCAGATGGCACAAAGCTAGGAAAGATAGCTGATATATTAGATCACAGTCAAGATCCAAAAAGGTATCAACTGGATTGAATTTTAGAGTGAATTTTAAGACAAAATTGAATAGGAATATATGTAAAAGTCTTACACTTGTGTTAAAAAAATTAGCGTCATGAGAACAAAATGGGATAGGCATAAGTGTATAGATGTTTGAAAAAGATTGGGAGGTATTAGTGGATTGTAGGCTTAATGTTAGTCAACTGTGTGAGTCTGCAGTACATCATTGGATATGTGTTCTTACTTATGGGTATTCCTTCCAGTGATGTGGATTATATCACATCCATGCTGATTTCTTGACCTATGTGACTGTTGTCCATTTAATCCCACAAGTTCACCATGGTTAAGGGGAGTTGGTGGTATTCAGCATTCTCTTCCTGCAGCTCTTTTGAAATCATGTTAATACCAGTAGAGCAGGCTGTCCATTAGTTATCTCTCTTACTATGTGACCATACTGACTTAAAAATAAGAGTATAAATTGGAGCTAATGAATATTTATCACATGAAGTTTTCTAGTGAGGCATCTTAGAAGAGGACTAATTTTTAAAATCTTTTATTAGAAATCTTTGTTTGATCTTCACTTGAATTCAGTAGACATTTACTGAGTGCCTACAGACTCACTGTGAAACTTGAGATATAACTCTTTTATAGACATTCTTATTTGGAATAGCAAATTGTAAATAGATTTCTTCTTTGGAAGACAGAGGAATTAAATTCTGCTTCACAGCTATTTTCATAGTCAAAATGAATCAGAACAAATAACTTCATTTAGTAAAGAAAAAAAGGTGACATCAGTAGACATTTAAAAAGAGCTTTTTTATTTTGTTGCTGTAAGGTATGTGGTCTGTTCATCATAGAATATAACATAGGATTATGTACAAAATATTGCTTAATGAATATAAATGAATATCATATCTAATCAGTGAATGATTACATCTAATTTGATGAAAAGTAGAATAATAATAGAATTTGCATCTATTTAGATTGTTTGATTATAGTTCCCTCTAAAGTTTAGGGAAATACTGTTAAATATTTTGATTCTTTAACTGCTGAGGTACATTATTTTATTTTCACAGAAATCTAAAGATAATTACATCTGCTATTCTTCACCCTTTAGTACCTCAAGTAAATTACTTAGGCAATTTTATTTTTTCTTTCTGTCCAGTAATATAATATCCAGTGCATGTATGAATGAATTGAAATACAGTAAACTCTTGTTAAGCTAGAATGCTAGTTAATTAGTGCTCTAGCTAATGGATTTTTTTTTCTGGCTGAGTATTTACCAGAAAGCAGAAAACATTTTTTTTTGTTTTAGTTCTTGTTGAAAATCTTCCATAAAATGATTTTATCTATGTTCCTGCTTTAGTAAGAACCACACAGTGAGAAAACTCATGCATTTCACACAGAATTATTATTGTGATCAGATGAGACAATAGGAATACACTTTTGTATATTGTTAAACATAGCATAGATATACTAAGATCAGTTCATAAAGTAATGCAAGTGATTTTTAAAACCTTTATCAGAATTTTATCTAAATGAGTGTTATCCCCTTTAAAATTAGTTTCCTTGAGACCAACCATCCCAGAATATCGATAATGATGAATGATACCTACCTCCTAACAGAGAGGAAATGGACTCAGTTTGTTGGATGAGATATACATTTTTGGATATAACTGTCATGAGAATTTGTTTTGCTGAAGGCTTTTGGGAAATGGAGAGAATAAATAATTGTTAATTGAAAAAATAAAGATTAAAAAAAGAAGAAATAGTTAATTGCCTTGAGAGTTTATATACTCATTCCAAATAATGCTGGCATTGCTTAAAATTACTGTAAGTTCTATGATTCTGTTTTGGAATTTTCTTTGGAGCCTGAAGTGCTTTCTTTGAAATATTAAAAATTATGGCAAATTTTAATCCTTTCAAGAGTGTATTTGATTTTTTGCCAAAAATTACTAGGTGTCAAGTCTAATCAGTAAAGTAGGTGAACAAGCTGGGCAATCTTATTTTGTGTTTATAAAGCAGATGTGACTATAAAATGATAAACCAAAATTCTTGTTTGGGAAACTGGTTCTGAAGATATTTTCAAGGGAGACATTTCCAGAAACACTTAAAAGCATAAGCATACTTGAAATAAGTAGATAGCCTCCCAGAGATACTGCTTTAAAAGACAACAGAATGGAATATATGGTATGTTTGTAAACAAAACCAGTTTTATTCATTTATTACTAGAGTCCTCCTTCCTGATAAAGGACCTTTCAGTGACCCAGGATGATTATTTCTGAAAATCAGTTAATTTTGTTTGGTGTTGTAAACATAGAGGTTTAATATTTTGGGTTTAAGTGTTGTCTTTTTCGTAAGTTATCTTTTAACTTAGTATGTAATTTCAGCCTATTTTTGTTGTCATGTGCTGTTCTTTCTGAGCCTTCTGTGGACAGTATTTGAAGATTCATAGATTTATCAGCTTAAATGAATAGCCATTGCTAGTCCTTACCTTATTTCTGCTGAATTGCTTTCCAATTTTCTTATCAGTTTTTAATCTGAGCATGTTAATACTAATACTATACATTTATGCCCCTCCTTGAAAACAAACAATGAGGAAATAGAGATTTAGAGTGAGAAAGTAGAGACCATTTATTCCTTCCCCCTCATTTTATAGGTGAAGAAACAACCTCAGAAGATCAAATGATTGCCTCAAGTTACACATGCAGCAGAGCTGACATTTGAATAGGGTTCCTTTGACCCTAAATCTTATGTTCTTTATACTATACAACATATAGAATTTGAAAGAAATATAAATTCTTTCAGATAATTTTAGATGACAGAAATAAAGACATAAATAGAAATAATACATCATTTGTCATCATACATAAACTAGCCTAGTGGACAAGTGGGGGCAGGGAGACAGGAACTGAACTCTAAAATACTAAATTCAGCACATCCATGAAAGGAAAGAGTGTACCCAAGATGGTGCTAGGGCTAGGTTTAAAAAAAAAAAATACATTCAAAAGTGAGGGAAGATGGGAAGGGTAGTGCCTTTGCAAGATAAAAAAAGAATAATAAAATACCTTTTAGGGCATAGATGGACTATATTTACCAGGGTTACTTGCAATAACTTGTAGGTATTATTTATCCTTAAAAAGTTATGGAGAATATAAGAACTTCAAGGCTAAGGCTCAGATGTGAAAATATTGACTTATTTTTATAAGAGAAAAGAAAGTGGAATCTTTGTATTATAAGCCAATGATGTTTATTTAAATTCCTGGCAAAATTCTAGAATGTATTATTAAAGAGATGGCTTGTGAGTATTTAGTCTTCTCAGACTAACCTAATTTAATTTAGTTCTTAGATTACTAGGTCAAGGGAATGTTCTACATATTATGTATCTGAAATTTAGCAAAGTATGGAATGGCAGAGATGAAGAGAAGTGGAGTGATAAATTAGTTGATGGTTTTGGAGCAGTTTGAATGATCAGACCCAGAATACTGATTAAAAGGTAATGTGGTATATGATTGTGATGGAATACTACTGGGCTATAAGAAATGATGAGCAAGTAGATTTTAGAAAAGCATGAAAATGCTTGCATGAAATAATGAGTAGTAGAGTGAGCAGAACCAAGAGAATCACAGTAACAGCTATATTGTTTGAAAAAAAAAGTAAATAAGCTGTTCTGAGTATTATAAATATTTAAATCAGCTACAAAGGACCTGTGAAGGAATATGCTATCCACTTCCAAAGAAAGAACTGATAAATACAAGTATGCAGAGGTATGCGTAGTATGGTTTTATGCACGTGTGCATGTACACACACACACACACACACACACACACACACACACACACACACACGTATATCAAATGGTGCCACTTCTCTAGTGTGAGGTGGAGAAAGAGGTAGGTAGGGAGACAGTTTAGAGCTTAAAATGTAACAAAAATTTTTTTTTAAAAAGGTAATGTTGATATCCCTTTTGATCTAGCTATACAAGTGCTAAGCCTATGCCACAGAGAGGATCAAAGGAGGAAAAAAATCCTGTATATACAAAAATATTAATGGCAGCTCTTTTTATGGTGGCAAAAAACTGGAAACTGAAGACATGCCTCTCAGTTGGGTAATAGCTGAACAAATTATGGTTTATTAATATAACGAATTCTGTTGTGCTATGAAAAATGAGGAAATGGATGCTTTTAAAGTAACACGGAAAGACTTGTATGAACTGATGTAGAATGAAGTGAGCAGAACCAGAATAACACTTAATATCAATATTAGTAAAGTGTTGAATTTTAAAGTCTTGCATAAACTAAAGAAGAATGAATTGAGCAGAACTGGGAGACCAGTTTATAAGAACAACACTGTAAAAACAAACAACTTTGAAAGCTTTAAGAACTCTGATTATAACAAGGACCATGATTCCAAAGGATTAATGGCAAAACATGTTATCTCTCACCTGACAGAGAAGTGATGAAATTAGGGTGCAAAATGAGACATTTTTTAGATACAACCATTGAAGGAGTTTTGCTTGACTATACGTATTTGTTACAAGAAGTTCTTTTTCTTTCTTTCTTTTTTTTTCTAGTGGGGCAAGGAATTGGAGGGACAGAAAATGGATTGATGTTAACTAAATTTAATTTGCTTGGACAGAGGTCTTTTGAGTGCCATAGTGGCCTGTCTTTAGCACTCATTTATTCAAAATTTTCGCAAGTAATTTAGATTAAGTCACAGATGATCTACTTATTAAATTTTCAGGGACTTTAAACTTAAAGATAAAACTAGTCTATTGGTTGACAAATGATGGCTAGAATGATGAGCTAAATCTAATAAAATGAAATTAAATGGGGACAAATGTAAAACACTGTAGTTGGGCTCAGAATATCAGCTGCATAAATGCAGGATGGGGGAAGCAAGCTAAGTAAATGTGAAATAGGTCTTGGGTTTAGAGGCAAATTTAGCTTGTTGCAAGGAACTCTAAAAATTAGAGTAATAAAATTTTCAACCACAGTAACTGTGAACGGCCAACTGTCCAAGTCACAGAAGGGTTGCAGTGTGTATTAGTAGAGGGAGTAGTTACATCAAGAAATCAAAGATATTGAAATATTCAGAGTTTCAATAATATTTCTGAATCATAGCATAATGTCTATAGGTAGCTGGAATTTTAATCTTGCCTTCATGAAAATCTTATTTCTGTTTTATTTGACCTGGCATTTTAATAAAAGCTAGGTTTTTTGACAAGTCATGTATTTTTCTCTTATTCCAGTGTGGACAGACTCCATTGATGTTAGCTGCTGAAAATGGCAATCTTGAGATAGTAAAAGAGCTACTTAAGAATGGAGCTAATTGCAATCTGGAAGATGTGGTATGAAATTTATTCATATTCTCTTATTTCTTTGCTTAAAAAACCTTTGATATTTAAATAAGTTTAAAATTTTATTTCCATGTATACAAATTAAATGCCTACTCTAGTGTTTTGTTTATATTTTTCTTTGAATTTATACATGTGTTTTAAAGTGTCTGACAGCTATTTCTGTCCATTGTCTAGAATAAATCATTTTGGGCCTTCTCTTTAGTTTAGTAGATGGTGAATCATTTTCTTAAGCATCATTACACAGTCTTTAAGTTTTAGTTATAGTAAATGATTACTTAAGTTACTGTGCTAGTAGAAATTTAGTGAAATGCCAGAGCAGGTAGTTGTAAAATCATTTCTAAACAATTATTACTGAATACTTTTAGGATGCAGTAGACAAATCTTTATATTGAGAAAAGTTGCATTTCAGGGCTAATCAAACCATTCCAATGTCCACTTCATTTTGTTTGTAGTTTAAATCTTTTTCTCAATATTGAATGAAATTTATTTTTGAAATGGTGAAATGTGTGTGTTTTTTAAGGATAACTGGACAGCCCTTATATCAGCAGCAAAAGAAGGTCATATAGCTGTTGTGAAGGAGCTACTTAAATGCAATGTTAATTTGGAACATAAAGATATGGTGCGTATATTTCCTAACATGTTACTAATTATATGCATTTTAGAGGCGTAGTCTTTTATTTTTAAGTAAATGAAATGATAGTAAAGCATTTTAAACTATGCAATTACCTATAAGATGTAATAACATTTTATCCATTAAACCTATAGGAATATAGACCTTTTTAGAATTTTTAAGTCAGTGTCAGTTTATTTGAGAGCTTAATATTCTGACATCTCTTTCAACATAACTTACTGCCCTTGGAGATTTTTTCTTCATAGGACTGCTTTGCTGCATTTTAAAATATTTGGAAAAATTACTTTGGTTTTCTACAAGTATGAATTTGGGAGGTAGAAAGTATAGTATTTTCACACTGTCCCCATTAAAAAAATTGTCATTGTTGAAGATTATAGCTTTCAATATATTTTTTCGCATTTTTAATAATTTAGTTCAGTTTAGGCATGCCACACAATTTTCAATTTTACAGCATGATTCATAATTCTCATTAGGTGATTTTGACATTTTTAGAAAATGTAGAAATGAACAAAGGAAATTCATATTTGTTGGATTTGAAAGTGTTCAGTTGTTAATTTAATCATTATTAAGCTTAACTTTTTATTGTTATTTTATCTTCCTTTGTGTATTAAACTGTCCCCTGCTAATTGACTATAAAATTGGTCTGATTAAAAATTCCTAGAAATGTACATCTCTAATTTGGTCCAAAACAAATCCTGTAAAAACTTTGTTTAAGCTAAGTTTAATATAAATATTAAGTTAATATTTATATTGCTGCTTCTCAATCATAAAACATATATGAAAGGCATACTATGTTCCAGGCATTGTGCGAGGAGCTGGCAATAGGAAGACAGAAATGAAATAGTTTCTGTTTTCAGGGAGCTTACATTTTATCAGGGAGACAGCATATGCAAAACTGAAAAGAATATGTGATCCTTCCAGGTATTGTAGCTGGGAGTTTCTTGCTGCATATTGGAGAGGTTATGCATGGCCCTGCCCAAACTGAAGCAAAGCTTCACTCTTACTGAAAGTAGGTCCATAGCATTGACTTGTCTGGACAATGGGGACCCCTATTGTGGTGATTGTGGTAGATGGAAAATTCTTTGATCCATGTGGGTAACCCATTAGAGGCACCCTGGTGTAGTTCAAAGAATGTTGGATTTGGGATGAAAGAACCTGGACCTCTGCCTTACCACCTGAGGCTTTGAAGCATTGAAGCATGCCTTTTGTTGTGATGGATTTCTTTTGAGTCTGGTGAAGTGTCTGGACCCCTTCTCAGAATAATATTCTTATATGCATAAAACACTGAGGAAATCAATTATATTGCAATATGGTTATCAAAATATTTTAAAAACAAGGTCTTGACTTTAGGTCAAGAACTTCTGGTATAGTGGAAAGAATGCTAGATTTGGAGTTGAGAGGGCCAATCCTGCCTTTGCCACTGTACTATCCTCCTCAGCACCCTCAGTTACCGCTCCCCTCTGATTGGAAGGCTTCAGGGCAGACCAATAAACTCCTCCCAAACTCCTTTCCCTTATACAGGGCTCAGAACTTACTCTAGCTAACTTTTCATTTTCTTTTTCTTTTTTTTTAGCGAGGCAGTTGAGGTTAAGTGTCTTGCCCAGAGTGACACAGCTAGAAAGTATTATGTGTCTGAGGCAGGATTTGAACTCAGGTCCTTCTGACTCCAGGGCTGGTGCTCTAACCACTGTGCCACCTAGCTGTCCCAAAGTTTCCTTTTTTTTCCTTTTTGGTGAGGCAATTGGGGTTAAGTGACTTGCCTAGGGTTGCACAGCTAGTAAGTATCAAGTGTCTGAGGTTGGATTTAACTCTTCATTTTCTGTGAGCTTCACTGCTTGATTTCAGCTTCATGAACATCATGTCCCCAGCTAGACATTTTGTGGTAGCCACTCAACCCCACTCCTTTTGAATGTTATCTTCCCCATTAGATTGTAGCTCCTTGAAGGCAGAGACTGTCTTTTTCTTATTTGAATCTTGCTTAGCAGAGTGCCTGACACGTAGTAGGAATAATGTTTATTGTTATGACTATGACTACCCATGTGACCTTGGGTGAACCACTTAAACTTTTTAGGCTCCAATTTTCTCAGCTGCAAAATGAAGGGTTTGCAGCTATCAAATAGGTAGCAGTAATTAAAACCAATGAAACCAAGTTCCTTGAAATCAGGGACTGTTATGGTCTTGGTATCCTTAGTGCTTAGCAGAGTGCTTGGCATATTATAAGCCTTTGATAAATGCTTGTTAACTGACTGACTGAAACCCATTGCTGAGGAGATTGTGGAGATAGGTATACTCATTGATTACTGTTAGAATTGCAAACTTTTAACCTTTTGAAAAGGATTTTGTCAGTTTTCAGTGGAAATTTTTAAAAAACCGTATTCTTTGACACAGTAATTCTCTTGTTGAAACTACCCTGAAAGTTTTGGCAGGAACAAGAAGTGGGCCTATGTTTAGAGATTTTCATAAAGGCATTATATAGAATTACAATAAAATTAGGGGAATAGTTAAATAAATTGTGGTATGTTAATATAGTGGAATGCTTAAATGCAACTAAGATAGACAAATATGAGGAATACAAATGAGTCCATGAGCAGTTTCAATTAAGTGATGAGGTCAAAAGCCAGCTGCCCAGAAAGAAGTAGGAGAAATGTGAGGAGCCCATTTTTTCTAGATGTTTGGATGCTAGTTTAAGAATTACTCACATGATGATTTTTTTTAAGATTGAGGAGGTGTGGTCATTCTGTCTCTTTACCTCTCTGGGCCTTATTTTTTGGGCCTTTCTGGCTCAGAGTGAATGTACAAAGTAACTGATTCTCTTTTGGCCAGCAACCCTGAGGATCTTCTCCCAGTTTGATTTTTTTTTTTTTAAATTGAAGGGGCCATTTCCTTGACTGACTCCTTTAAGGCCTGTTCACTGAATGGGCATTGCCTCACTCAAAATGAGAACTTGAAAAGACTTTAGCTTAAAAGAGCCAAGGTCTCCCACTGCATCTTGGGCCATCTCCAGTTGTCCTGATTGCTGTGTGGCAACTGGACCCAGATGACTCTGGAGGAGGAGAAAGTGAAGCTGGTGACTTTGCACAGCCCTCCCTCACTCAAATCAAAGTTAGTTTCAAGACATGTCATCATCTCCCTGATGTCATGGTCTTCTTTGAGAACGAAGGAAAAACCACCAGAACTTTGAATTAGTTTGTATAAGTTTTTCCGGGTTTTTCTGAAATCATCCTTCTTGTCATTTTTTATAGCACAGTAATACTCCATTACTACAACTTGTTCAGCCATTGCCCAGTTGATAGGCATCTCCTCAATCTCCAGTTCTTAGCCACCACAAAAAGAGCTGCTAACTGTGGATCAAAGGGTATGCATAATTTGATTGTGCATACTTCCAAATTTGTTCTCCAGAATGGTTGGATCAGTTCACAACTCTACCTACAGGGCGTTATTGTCCCAGTTTTCCCACATCCCTTCCAACATCTATGATTTTCCTTTTTATGGCTGTACTTTATGCTATAAAGCCCCACCTAGTAATTCTATCATTCCATAATTAACTGATTTCCAGTATGAGTGGATTTAAACATTTAGCAATTGTAAAAGTAAACCAGACTTTCAGACCATCAGAAGATTGCAGAGGGGTTTTAAATGTAATCATGGTTGAATCAGTCTTAAATCTAATTGGCTAAATAGTGCAGAAGAAGCTGCCCAGTTGCAGAGACTATATAGAATTAATTGCACGTGTGCTGTTAGGGAGGTATCAGTGAGATCTCTCCAGTATGCCAGATTAACACATTAATAATGCATGAATACTTTGAAAATGTATTCAGACCCAGCACCACCCTCCTTACAGTCATGCATATCTTGAAAACAAATTACAACACCCTTGATGACTTGGATAACCCATTCTATGATCCCTTTACTTCAGTCAAATTATAGATCACTGAAATACTGTAAGAGTATAGCTCTGGGACCAGATTGAATTAATACTAGATCTGGAAGAAGACTGAACCAGAGGGACATATTTTAACCACTGTTTTTAATATATCACACAAATACAACTGTGTCCCAAAGGAGTGGCAGTTGTTAATAATTATTTTAAAATATAAAAAAGATAATAGGAATCGGCCTTCGAGCTGTAGACCTATATCCCTGGGTAACACCATCTTGTCTAAATGACTCATCAATTGCAGTTTGAGAAATGGGCGCATCAGTAGGAATCAAAAAGGCTTCATGCCTACTGACAGCAACAGTGAACGTAGTTTTCTGTTGTGGTCTGTCCTGCATGAAGCCAAACATAAAAGGAAAATGTTTGGGGCAGCCTGGCTGCGCAGTATAAGTGAGATTGCTGTACCACATGGGCAAGATTGCCTTTTTATGGGACCAAATGTGTGTCCATATTGATTGATGATTGGGAGAAGAGGATGCTCTTTATACAATTTGAAATACAAAATCAGGGGACCCTAGTAATATCTGAGGAAAATACCTATTCTTTCCTTGCAGTCCCCCTTTGGATTCCATGACACATTCTGTCAAGGATGTAGTAACCAACATGACTATAGACTTAGACCTCATGGATAAGTCTAAATTGGCTCCTTGGCAGAAAACTTTCATCTTGCCCTGCTTCTTTTTCCACCTTAAGAACTATTGTTCCTCAAGAGTGCCCTCAAACTTTTGTACAGAACAGTTTTTTTTTTTAAATGTCAAGAGATGACTACAGCTCCCTCAGAGAGCCAGTGTTGAGCTTCTGTGTCTCCCCTATAAATGGAGTGGGTGAACCTACTACCCTAGTTGTAGCAGCAGACATAAGTCAGGTGACTTATGGGATGAGGCTTCTGGCATCAGCTGATCTGAGTTGACTGTCCCACAATTCTCTTAGCAACATAGTGAGGAAAAGAATCAAATATGACCCTCAAACAGAAGACCCAACTATTGATTTAAATGGCTCCGTGGAAGAAGAATTTGGAAATGAGAACACAGTAGCATTTAAAATCTAGTCTTGGCTGTGGAGATGATTATCACCTAAAATTTCAGTTGGGTGGAGAGCAAATAATGGTGTCCTTGCTCTGTGGCTGAATGATAGTCTGTTGGCCTGAAGGAGTGAAGAACTTGAAATAAATGCTGGGATATTATTTTAGATGGTAGTTTTTCTGCAAACCTGACTAGGGTAAAGTATAGTTACCTTGATGGCTTTAGCTTCAAAAATTTTTTGAGGGAGAGATCCTTTACCCAGTTCATGGACTGGTGATTCATTCACAGAGCCAGACTGGTCTGTGTTCCATTGAATGCGACTCAGAGATTTGGCTGTGTAGATAAGCAGTGTTGTTTATGTGGGGCATCAAATGAAATACTCCGATGTGTCCTCTGCCACTGTGCTCCTCACCTGATTGGGGCTATTATGTGATGGCACAGTGATTTCTTAAAGAGACTTAGTGCCATTAAAGTGCCAAGAAAAACAGACAGATTGAGATTTGGGTAGATTTAACACTTCCAGGGCTGAGAGAGGCCTTAAGACTGGATTTAGTAATTTAGACATCTTAGTATCATACTCTTTGAAAAAAGATATTCTGCCTTTCAGTCAGCCAGAGCCAGCAAAATTGAAAAATATCAGATAGTTTGTCAGCTGCTGACCTAGGAAGGCTACAGGGTATACTGCAGCATGCTGATAGGGCCTTTAGAATGTGAGATCCGTATTTTGTTCTCTAAATTAAAGATCAGTATGAGGTATGCTAGCCTGATGAACAAGTTGATGGTACAGTACTCTTATCAGGTGGAGCAGGGACACATACATAGAGCACATAACCAGAGTTAGCCAATGTACAGAATGAATTCTTGAGACAAATATAGTAAGAAGCGACTGTGTTTCCTTATTAATTTATACCCAGTATTCTATGAATTTTTTGTGTGATCTGTCTAATGATTAACATTAATCTCTTTGGATTTTATATTGCATTCTTACTATTATGAAGTATTTGATTGTTTAACCCTATAAAATGTAGCATATAATTGAAATGCCTGTAAACCTGTTCACTTAACCATTAATATTTATAAACCATAATAATTTAGTTTTTGTTATTTTATAGGTGAGGAAACCAAAGCTCTGGGAATTGAAATGATTTGATCAGGATCATAGAATTAAGAAGTATTAAGTTATGATTTGAACCCAGTTCTCTTGAGATCAAGTCTAGTGCTTTTTTCATTACAGTCTGCTCTCTGTCCACAGTCTTAAATGTCAGTATTACTGGATAACAGGAGTCTTTATATCCACAACACCTACTACTTAATAGACCTTTAATAAATAAATGTAAGAATTTAATCTCCTAGAGAGCAGCATATCTTTTTAGCCATGTAGAGTTTAAAGAGATTGTTCCAAAGTTGCGATATATTACAACCTTCTCCTGTAAGGAAGAAGAGCTTCTAAAGCTTTTGTGTCCTAGTAGCTGATATGTTGTGATGTATTATAATCTTCAGAATGTCTTTGGATTGAGGGTGAGTCATTTAATGTAATATGCCTTCTCAAGAAGGGATCTGCAGCGCTACCAGTAGTGCATCTAGACAGGCTTACTGAGAGGGAACAACTATCAATACAAGTTCTTGTTGCAAGTTAAATGCTATAGGTGCAACTAGGTGGTGCAGTGTATAGAGCACTGGCCCTGAAGTCAGGAAGACCTGAGTTCACATTCGGCCTCAGACCAAACCCTTGACACCAGGTGTGTTAAGTGCAAGTCACTTAACCCTAATTGCCAAAAATAAATAAATAAGAAATTTAAAAAGCAAGTTAAATGCTATAGAGGAGTACTTATGGAAATACTGTAAGGAGAGGCAGTGGGATGTAATGGAAAGCATGCCAGATTTTTGAGGATATGGTACATCGGTTACGATCATAGGTGCACTCCGTATATCACGGGACTTCAGTTTCCTCATCTACAAAAAGAAATGATTGAATTAGATTACCCAACCCTTCTCCAACCCTTCTATCTCAAAATTCTATTATCTCTAAAACCCCAGTATGATTAAAATACTGTTAGCAGATCTGATTCCTGTTCCCTGTACGATTGTTGGTTTTGTGATAATCTTAGGAAAATAATTTCAGTCCTGCATGGTATTATATCTGCTCTTTACTCTTCCACCCCTTCTCACAATGATTTTGTTAGAATTAGTAGTGGTTAATATATATAAGTACTTTTGTGTCATAGGCTAAATCGCCTGTGATAAGTCTCTACTGGAAAAAAATAGTTTTTATAATGTTCTTTGTTTTCTTTAGGGGGGATGGACAGCTCTTATGTGGGCATGTTATAAAGGCCGTACAGAAGTAGTAGACTTGCTACTTTCAAAAGGTGCCAATCCAAATGTCACTGGACTGGTAAGCTTTCGTTAAAAATTATTTGCAAAAGTAAACAATCATATTTCTCTGGATACTAGAAATTGATTAGAGTTTATCCTTTTTATTACATAAAAATAAATATTGATGAAATAGTTGTTCTGTTTAGGAAAATTTCATCACAGCTGCAGGATAGATAGAATGCTAAAGATTATCATGAGCAATAAACAATGAGAACACTGCTGAAAATTTTTTTTCTAATTATTTGCTATTGGTTATTTTAAGCAGTTACCATAAGACTCTAATGTTATTTGTAAAAAATAACAAATGTAAAATGCTAATATATTAAATAGTAAGTGATCTCACCAGGCATAGTAGCATATACCTACAATCCCTGGTACTAAGAATGCTCAGTCTAATGGATTGCTTGAATTTAGGAGTTCTGAGCTGCAGTTGGGCTAAAACCTATTGAACGTCTACACTGAGTCTAGCACCAGTATGATGATCTCCTAGGGAGCAGGTGACCACCTTGGGTGGGACAAACCCAGGATAGAAACAAAGCAGGATGAGCTTCTGTGCTAATGAGGAGTGGGACTGGGCTCATGAATAGTTTGGGCAAGATAGGGAGTGTCAAAAAAAAAAGTAATTTTTGGAGTTTAATTTTTAATTCCCACTAATTATAATGAGAAGTAAATTCCATCTGGCTTAAGCATTTAGAAATGCTCATAAATTCTAGATGTCAGGTTTTAGTGGAATTTAGTACTTCTATACTATGTATGTGAAATTATTTGAAAGACTGATAAAGAAAACTTTTATATTCTTATGACTTATACCTGCTGAACTAGTTACTCAAATGAAATGTGTTTGGTACATAAAATCGTTGAGGCTGATTGTGTCCTTTTAATGCTTTTATTAATAATTCAAACTATTCCTCAGTATAGAGAAGTGTGTTTGTGGGGGATATGCAATATGTAGATTTAACTTTAGCTTTTTTGACATTTATTTTGAGTATTTTTGATAACCTCTTACTAATTACATAAATATTTGCTAAATAGAAATGTAAGACCATTAATATACAAAATGTATAACCATAAAAGATTATTTCTTAAGCCTAAGATTTTCTTTATGTTTTCAATATTTCAGCAATACAATGTATATCCAGTCATTTGGGCTGCTGGGCGAGGTCATGCAGATATTGTATATCTGTTACTGAAAAATGGAGCTAAAGTCAATTGTACTGATAAGGTAGGTTTATTTTAAAGCTATTCTTAATTAGAGTTGATATCACGCCCCTCTTAGTGTATACAGGAACTAGGAGGATGCCCGTAAACAGTTTTGAGGGCATTAAGGACTGATATTCTAGGTATTTGAAAGAGAAAGTTTATTAAAGGCCTGAAAAAAATTGCAGAGTATTATTACCAAAAGATAATGAAGATTGTTAATAGCTACCAGCATGTGCCTAAAGGATTTCCTCAAGGTCATATCAAGTCTTAAAAGAGGGTAAATATCAGAGTTGGATTTCCAGTGTTGCTTTTCTGACTCCAAAGCCAGTGTTGTTATCCCCCACAGGTGGTGGCACAGTTATTCCCCTAAGGTGGTGGCAGTAGAAACAAAAAAGAAGGAAATCAGGTTAGAATTATCTGGCCTCCTTGTTTGCATGAGAGAGTGAAGATTCAAGGATAATTCTGAGGTTTTGAGCTTGAGTGACTGAGAGAATTATGTCATTAAAAGTCCTAGGAGACATCTGAAGGGGAACTGGTTTTGATAAAAAGTTGATAAATATACGTTAAGCTTGAGGTGATGGTAGGATATTTTTATGGAGATATATAGCAGCCAGTCTAATTTTCAACATCAAAATGATTAAGGTTGGAGATACAGCTTTTGGAGTCACATATAAGTGATAGTTCGATCTGTTAAGGGGCACCTCTTAACTTGTCTTCTTGAGTTGTCATATTTTCCAGAAACACAGGACCCAGAGTGTTCAGGAAGCCCTGAACATGTTGAGGACATGTTCACCCCCTCCTTTCCACCCCTCTGCCCTGAGCTGACATAATTTGATGTTTACACCCCTTCCTGGATTCCCTGTATGTCCTTGGAAGTTAAACCAGCTACAGAGACAGGAATCAGTCTGCTCCAAACGAGAAGCTATGCAGCTGGGATCGTTGTAGATAAGCAGACCATCCTGTCTTCGGGGTCTAGCAGTACCCAAGGGAAAGGAATGCTGCTTTTGCCATTGTCTTTCTTCTCCCCTTCCAGAAGGGATTAATCCTTTCCACATCCCTACTACTTTCTTCTTCTTCCCACGCATTTAGGAAGAGATTGCTGTCCCTCCTCCTCCCTTTGCTACAATTTCATAAATATACAGGCTTCCGTTTGGATTGTGAATTCCTTGCACCTGGAGTTCTATATGCATGTTCATTTCTCTTGAAAAAATCCAGTTGTAACACATGTCTCGTGGACTTGTGCTATTTTTTTTTTTTTGGTTAACAGATCTGTGAAAGTTCATATAATTTCTTTCTAATTGTATTCTGTTAATACCTGTGACTTAGGGCAAGTCACTGAACTGCTTTTGGACCAATTTTCTCTTCATGAAATGAAGGGATAGGTGATCTAAGGTGTCAAGAGTTATAAATCTTTGATTCTATAATCCTATGAAGAGAAGCAAAATAGGTCACTGGAGAATGGTAGTAGAGTTAAGGGCAGGATTTTTCTTTTAGGATGAGAAAACTTAAGCATATTTATATTCAGAAGAAAAAGAAGCAGCAGAACTAGGGAAGCAAAGTGTAACAAAAAATAGTTTAATTAATGGAGCAAGGCCCTAGAGGAATCAGGAGAGGATGAGGATCAATAACATAGTAAAGTAGGGGTTAGCTTTAAGAAGAAGGTCACTCTCATACTTTGAGACAGGAGGCAAAGGAAAATAATTTAAAAGATGGAAATAGTGAGTTTTTGGTAAATGGAGTAGGTGGAATGATGAAGGATCTTGTACTACACAACCCTGATCCTCCCAGTAGAGCAGGAGGCAAGTTTATCTGCTCAGAGTAAGGAAGGCAAAGGTGGAGTTGGAGGCTTGAGGAATGTGAAAAAAAATTTGGAATTACAGTGGAGAAAAAGATAGGGAGTCAATAAAGAATGAACAAAAGATTTACCAAATAATAATAAAGGCCTAATTGAGACATGAGTTTGTATGATTCAAGTGATGAATGAAGTTCTAAGCATGACATAACTGGTATAAAGAGTTACATAAATCTTTTCAAAGTATGATTTTAATCGAATTGAGTGTGAAATTTTTTTTTACTGACATATACTTAATATATACATGTTAATAACTTTAAATTTATCTTACAGTATGGAACTACCCCCTTTGGTTTGGGCTGCACGTAAGGGCCATTTGGAGTGTGTTAAGCACTTACTGCATATGGGAGCAGATGTTGATCAAGAAGGAGCTGTAAGTTGTGTGTGTGTATGTGTGTGTGTATATGTATGTATATGCATGCATATGTATGTGTTAAAACTGGAAGAGCCATAAGACATCATATTTTTGTTTATCCAAAGAGAAAGGTGATTAACTTTTAGGCAGCGAAAATAAATATCTCTGCATATATATGAAGCTGTTTTCCACATTTAGATGGAATTAATATGGAAAAAATTCTCTTTTAAAGTAGTCACATAGTAGATTACTTACATGTTGTGTTTTAAATTTTCACATTTAGGAATTTAATGTTAACATGAGTATTTTTGTAGGCTAAAGTTAATTTTAGTAAGTGGCAAAACTTAAAATTTCCAAGTAAAGCAGAAAAAATAATTCAAATTATTTTCAAATCCATAGTTTCAAAGATTATTTGTATACTGCCTTGAAAGACTTTCTTAAACATTTTAAAATGAATATTATTTTTATCCTTGGCAGCATATAGCGTATATTGCCTTTTGAGTAAACAGATTAAAACTGGCATGGAATCAAAGGTGAAACTTTTTACATTGTTAAGCACATCAACATCTGTCTTTTGATCATCCATTAGTGACAAACATTTTGCTACATAATACTTTGAGAGATTGAAGAAGAACCTAAGGTTATTTTCCCTTGAAGAGTTTTAATTGGAGCATATGCTTCATGAACAGTATAAAATAGCCTATTGTGAAATGCTGTGAAAATGTGTTATAGATAAAGGTGTAAGTATAGTGCTACAGGAATTTAACAATTTTTTATTGTTACAGGACTGCCATAAAGATAATTCACTGCCTGATTCTTTGATCCAGTGTTAGCTTCTTGAGGGTCAGCTTTCTGTCTACCCCAAGTAAAGATAAAATTTTCTGAGAACTATAACATGATTTTAGGCAATGGCATTATAACCACCTGTTTGCATAAGCCTTTGGCTACTTAATTCAGTAAACATTTATCGGTCACTTAGTTTTTATATGTTACTCTGTTGGTAAATAATGATATATAGTTGGATAGGGTAGACTTTGTTGGATGAATAAATGGAATTTTGCATAACTATTGATGATATTCTGTAGGTATTAAGTGCTGAAGTGGAAGTCAGAAGACAGCATGATTTTTAAAATTGAAGAACATTATGGGCATTATGGAGTTTGTTGAACCTTAAGTTCCTATTATGTTAATTGGTTCTTGAAACCTAAGATCTGGATAATTATGTTAACAACTCATTTTTATATATTAGTTACAGGTTTATAAAGTGATTTTTACCCAACCCTGAGAGGTAGAATCCAAAGAATCATAGGATTCAGACCTGAGTTCAGATTTAATCTTGAGAGACTGAATTGACTTTTCTTAAGGTCATAGTCCAAAAGAGATCATAAATCCTCATATGGAAATTATTTAACTTGAGGGAGAGAAATTAAAAATTCCTATATTCTTTTTTTTAGAGTCAAAGCTTAAGACAAAGTGAATTCCTTGTAGAAAGATAGGTGTTTGGGAATGACAGTCACTCTTTTAGAGTACAGATAGTATATTGTCATGACCTGAAAGAGAGCCTCATTTCAGAAAAAGGAGAGTTGCTGAGACATTGGCTAATACGGTTTTTAAATTAACATGAAAGATAAAATGTATTATATTTCTTGATATTGGCTTGTAACTGTTGCCATATTGATATTCTTGCAGTTTTTCTTAATGTTTTATAAAAATAATTATGATAGTAATTTGAAATCAATAACTTATTTTTGAGTTTTAGTTAGAACATATTGTTACGTCTTGATTATGTATGTCAGATGTTGATTTAACAAAAAAGGTAGTTTTGATTGTTGTTTAAAACTTGATTGTATTATAGGCCTTTTATATATTAATTCTTGAAACACATAGTATGAAGAGGTAATGAACCCAGTAATGAATCTTTAACAACTGAGCATTTTATTTCTTTATTATTAGTAGATATATTGCAATACCTGCATCATTGAGATCACAAAGCCATTAAAATATCATTGATATTTCTTTGGTTTGTTATTTCCTTGAGCATTTTAATACTAAAGGACTTTTAGCAAGTATATCAATCAGATTTTTGAGAATGACAGTCTTAGAAATGTAAGTGGTCTTCTTCAGTATGCACTAATAATCTTTTTTTTTTTAATTGAAGAATTCAATGACTGCACTTATTGTGGCAGTAAAGGGTGGCTACACACAGACAGTAAAGGAAATTTTGAAAAGGAATCCAAATGTGAATTTAACAGATAAAGATGGAAATACAGCTTTGATGATTGCATCAAAGGAGGGACACATTGAAATTGTACAGGATTTACTTGATGCTGGAACATATGTAAATATTCCTGATAGGGTAAGTGATGAGTCATAAAAATTTCCTTCTGAAGAGTAACTACATTAACCAATGAAGTTGATTAGAAAATGTCTTACATACTTGTGTTATATATTCCTCAGATGCTTAGTATATATTTTTTGCCATCAGTTAACAAATTTATTTTAATTCATCCTCTGTTCACCAAGAATCTATTTAAAGTTTCTGTTATGTGTTAAGCACTGTATTAGGTGCTGGGGCTTGTGTTGTGGTTTGGTCCTTCATTTTCGAAGAGAACCATGACATCAGGGAGATGATGGCGTGACTTTCAATTGACTTTGATTTGAGTGAGGGAGGGCTGTGTAAAGTCACTAGCCTCATTTTCTCCTCCAGAGCCAGATAGTGATCAGGGTGACTGGAGATGGCCCAGGATTAGATGGGGGACCTTGGCCCTTTTAAATTAAGGTCTTTTCAAGTTCTGACTTTGAGTGAGGCAATGCCCATTCAGTGAATAGGCCTTTTGAAGAAGTGAGTCAAGGGATGGCTCCTTTAATAAAAAAAGAGACAAAAGTCAAAAAAGAGCTAGTCCTTTTCTTTGAGGAGCTCACATTCTACTGAAACAGCATGTATGCAGAAAATGCAAAATTGTTTGCTTTTTTTGAGTAAATGTGATTTTTTCAGTAAAGGGAGCTCCTAGGAAGAAATGCTGTGTGTGTGTGTGTATATATATGTATGTATGTATGTATGTATGTGTGTATATATATATGTGTGTGGGTATATATATATGTGTATATATATATGTGTGTGTGTGTGTGTGTGTGTGTGTGTATATATATATGTATATATATAAATAAAAAAAGTACAGATGGGGGAAATTATGATCTTATAGAGGGCCCTGGGTGCACTGAGAGGTTAGGTGACTTGCCCTGAGTCACAGTGGGTTTGTATATGTCTAAGGTGTATCTTCTTGATTTTAAAGTGGGCATGATACCTCTCTCTAAATGCACTGTTTATACCTAGTCATTTAAAAATACATTTTGAAATCAACATCATTAAAAACTATGTATTTTATGCCAAAGTTTTGTGGTTTTGTTATTTTAAAGACTTTGTGTAATATTAGTATATGATTACTCTTACTTTTCTTGCTCACTTTACATTGCCACAGACATCAGCAATTTAATATTGATTGCTCTAAATCTAATAGTTTAGTTTAATTGTCCTGAGTAGGAGTATTTAGTAGTACATTAAAAGTGTATTTAAGGGGGCAGTTAGGTGATGCAATGGATAGAGCACCAGTCCTGGAGTCGAGAGGACCTGAGTTCAAATCCGACTTCAGACACTTGCCTAGCTGTGTGGACCCTGGGCAAGTCACTGAATCCCAGTTGCCTCACAAAAGAAAAAAAAAAGCATATTTAAAAGATTAACCAGTAAGAGGTTAGTACAAAAGTAACATTAAAAACAAAACGTCTCATTTTTTTCAAGTTTAGTTAAGTATTATTTTCTACTTCTAGGTCCCTAATTAGAATAGTTGTCTTCAATTCAACCATCAGCTTTATCAATACCTTGTGTTCTACACTTAAAGGTGTACATTTTGTTTCTTTTTTTTGGGGGGGGTTTGAGTTTTTGTTTTTAAAGTGAGGTCTACATGTCATCATGGAGTGACCAGGTAGGAGGGGGATACTGCTAGTCCAAAGGCTCCTGCCCACATCAAGTACTCCTTTCTCCATTAGCTTTGTTACCTTTGGACACTGAAGTTAGTGGGGACACCAAGTCTCCTGGATCCCTCTAGAAAACAATACATCTTTGTCCTCTCGCCACAGTATGGGGCATTCCCTCTTAAGCCCCTGATACATTGGGCCAGGAGAAAGAGCAGATATACATGTTCCTCATTGCCACTTCCAGACCATGCATTTGCGCTGTCATTCAGCAACTTTTCTTACTTTTAAGGTTCACTTCCTCTGTCTCTGACACCTAGTAAAGATTTTTGTTGAAGTCTGTCAGCTTCCAGATCTTTCTCTTTTTTCAAGGAGTTTCTTAGATACTCTCCTGGATTATAAACCTTACCCTCTTTCTGAAGTATTTCGGTATACACATTATTCATGTCACCTTGAACACCATTCTTATGACTCATATTTTCTCTCTACCTCAGCCACCTACAGGAATAGTCACATTTTAAGTTTTTACATCATCTATTACTAGGTTTCTTGTATGGTCTTGGATTCTGAAAGTCTTTTCTCTAAACATGACTTATCTTTCTATTGCTCCCTCAGCTTCACTTCTCTTAAACATTCTTACCACATCATCTAAGCCTTCTACCCTTTCCTCTTCTCCCAATCTATCACCCTCTGTCTGGCCTTTCTTGTTTTCATAGTCTGCATCTCATTGTTGATCATTTCAGTTGACATTTTTGCCTCCCCCAGAATCCCACATTCATTTGCTTTTGCCACTCAGAGCTCTACCCTGGGCTAACTGTACCGTTCTCTTTTCTCTGCTACTCCTAGCAGTCTAGTGAAGCCTATAGACCCCTTTGTTTACATGCTTGAAATAAAATAAATAAGATTACAAAGGAAACTAATTTTGTTGAAATAAAGTTATCAAAATATTTTTAAAAATTCAAGTTCGCGGACCCTGGATTAAGAACTCCTGTACTGTCATGTTGTTGAACATTGCTGGCAAATGTCATGTAACTCTACCAACGAGATCCATTATGAATTTATGTTCTTATCTCAGATGGGCCTTTATTGCTTCTTGGCAATCTTTTAATTTTTTTTTTCTGATTGAGTCCTTGTCACATACCCCACAGTAGCTGTAATAAACTATCTTCTGTCCCCAGCGCGCCCCCCCCAATACTACCTTCTCTCTTAAAATGAGAACCTCTCCTTCTACTGAGAAGAAAGTCCAAATGGACATAATCTTTCGCTTTTCTCGTCTTGTAAAACTTAAAACACCTCTACATCATTCCTCATTTTTTCTTTTCCTGTGGTTTATAAAGAGGTAAGGGGTCCTTCTTCCCAAAGTTAATCTTTTTTGTGCCATTGGTATTATCCTCTCCTATCTCTTTTGGCCATTCTCTTTCTTTAATCTTAAATTTTCCCTTATTTACTGATTCCTTGTGGATTGGTGTTGGGGATAGAACACTACAGTCAGGAAAACTTGTGTTTGAATTCTAGTTCAAATATACTTAATCTCTCTGATCCTCAGTTTCCTTATCTGTTAGGAAAAAAAAGGGGGGGGAGGATAGTAATAATAGCACCTTTCACATAGGGTCATTATGAGAAGCATATGAAATAATGTATATAATATACTTTGTAAACCTTAAAAACTATACAAATATGAGCTATTGCATTATGTCACCATGCATATACCTTTCTATCCCTAAAAAAAATGTTCAACCTTGTTTCAAGCCATTAATCTATAATAATTCTACTTTTACAATTAGATTACTAGAAAGAGTCATCAGCAATTATTGCTTCCATTTCTTCACTTCTCCTTACTTTTTTACCTCTGTATTCTGGTTTCTAACCCTGCTGTTGAACTGAAACTCCTTTCCAGGATTGTCAGTGATAGTTTAACAGCTTAATGTGTGTTTGTCCCCTCAGGTCTTATCCTATTTGACCTTTCCTCAACTTGGCTACTCTATAATACAATTAAGATTAAGATCCCCTACACCAGGCAGGGGTGGGGAACCTGTGGCCTCTGGGCCACACATGGCCTTCTAGATCCTTGGGTGTGGCCTTTTGACTGAGTCCAAGTTTTATGGAACGAATCTTTTTATTAAGGGGATTTGTTCTGTGAAGTTTGGAATTCAATCAGAGGGCTGCACTTCAGGACTTAGAGGGTCTATGTGGTCGTCAACCTGCAGGTTTCCCACCCCTGCCCTAGACCATTGTAATACCCTTGTAATTGTACTCTGAGCTGCCATTCCTCACCTTCTGCAATCCATTTACCACACAGCTTCCAAGTTAATACTCTTAAATCACAGGTCTCACCATGGTACTATAAAAAATCTTCAGTGACTTTCTTTTGCCCCTAGATGCATAGGAGTTCTTAACCTGGGGTCTGTAAACTTGTTTTAAAGGATATTTTGATAACTTTTTCAACATAATTGGATTTTTTTGTAATACTGTGTCTTTTAATTTTATGCATCTAAAAACATCTGAGAAAGGATATGTAGGTTTTACCATATTGCTAAAAGGGGCCCATGGTACAAAAAAAGTTAAACAAACAAACAAAAAACCTTATTCTGGGGTAAAATAGTGGGTAAATTTTCTTAGCCTGGAATTTAAAGCCCTATGAGAGCTCATCTGTAACTTATTTTCTCAGGAACCTGGGACACTTGATAGATTAAATATCTTGCTCTTGATCACTTAGCTCATATGTGTCAGAGATAGGACTTGAACCTTGGTCTTCCTAACTCCAAGACCAGGTCCATATCTCCTACTATGCCATGTTGTTCTTCTCTGCCCTGAGAGACTAGCTAACCAAGCTCATTAGAGTTGTGTATCAGGTAAGAATAAGTAGATTTTGTGTAGACAGTTTAATAAGCAGTCCTGTGAATAAGGTGCATGAACTTTGGTTTTGGTGCATGCATATGGACTTTGTGTTGTGACCTCTTTTGGCTTCTCAGATGGCTCTTTTGATGGTTTTGTCTCCTGCTTCTTATCAGTTCTGGATAGTTGAAGTTGTCATATTGAGGTCTAGATAGGTGATGTATCATTTTGATTTTAGTACAAATGAGCTATGGGAAGCTTATCGTAAGGAAATTTTTTGTGAGTTTTTGTCTCTATTCTTTTCTAGGTATTAAAAACATATTGTTGTAAAGACGAAGGCCAGCTGACTCTTTCAGCTAGGTCTCATTTGCCATTAAACTCTGTTTATCATCATGGACTCTGTTTATCGTCATGGTTCCAAATCTTCATGAGATCTCAATGGACAGTTCTTTCAGCATTGAGTCAACATTGCTGCTTTCTAAATTGATACAGAACTCATTTATAAACCAGAAAATTAACTTACTAATTTTCTGTATGGGATTTTTCATTCACAAAACTCAAATATTTCTTTCTGTTCTTCAGGATATTTATTCTCTTCTTAGTACCAGAATAGTTGGGAAAACCAAGTTAATGATCAGAAATTACATTTTGAAAATAGTTATGGGGTGAAGGGAGTCATATAACCATATAAGGAGTATTTTCATCAGAATATGTGGTAGCCTTCTAAGAAGTTACCCTTCTATACTGTATGATCATAGGAGAGGGTGAGGAAATAAGCATTACCCCTTGAATGGGTCTGAGACTCACTGACAGGGTATTACTATCTAACTCCTTTTTCTAGATTTCATAGTGACGATTACCTTTCTTTTTTGCACTTATCATTGACTCTTTATTCCAGCATATTTTTATCATGCTATAATTTCCAAATTTATGTTGTATGTACTGGCAGCTATGTCGATGATGATAGTTTGCCTTTCCTTAATGTTTTACTCTGGTGCTTCATTGTTGCATAAACAATTACTCTAGTTTCAAAAGCTATATCAGCAAGATACTTTAGCGTGTTCTCCCAAAGTGAAAAAGCTTCAGATGAGTGTCATCCTAGAACTAGCCTTGTTAAATTTAGAGAGGCTTATAAAAAGGTTATCCACCAGGTGGTAAACTTTTGATTACAGCATGTCACAAAACCGTCTCCTCAGACATGGAGGAATTGCAGTCTGCATTGGCAGAGGTAGTACCTAGTCCCAACAAACTTTGAAATCTTTTGAAGTACTAAAGATATAGGCTTTGCTCCAAATCAGATTTTTAAGAAAATATGTTTTATTAAATTTCAAATCTTAGTTAATTCTTTCTCATCATCAATTCATTGTTTTTCAGAGTGGAGACACTGTGCTAATTGGTGCTGTCAGGGGTAGTCATGTTGAAATTGTTCGAGCCCTCCTACACAAATATGCTGACATAGATATTAGAGGACACGTAAGTATAACTACATTATTTTTAGTTAGAATACAAATATGATGTTTTAGCAAACATCCACTATCTTAAAAACCAAAAACTTTAACTTGTAAAATCTAGCAGGTTTTTGTATACTTGAGTTATTCTAAAATTGCTTTGGAAAAAATCCTGTGAATCAGGGATAGGAGCAAGAACTGGACTTGTGATTTCATTGTGATAGGGAATTCCCATCAGAAGGGAGTATTCTCTGCTGGTGCAAGTCTTCTCTGCAGTTTATAGAGAGTTGCCCATTGAACTGACTGAGATTTAAGCAGCTTTTTAAGGGTCACAGAGCCAGCATTTGTCAGAGGCAGGCTTTGAACCTAGGTCTTCCTGGCTTTGACTCTGCCCTCTATTCGCTGCTCCATGCTATCTGAAGTCGGGCTACTTTTCTTAGCTTTTAGGATTTTTCTTAGGATAAAAAGTAGAATTTATCAGCTTCTACCCATTTTAATTTCTACGTTTTTTTAGCATATGCTTCTCCAGAAGAGTTGTAATGATCATCCATACTAAGAAAGAAAAAGGTAGAGAGCCTGTGTACAAAACACATATCTGAACGAGACTTATTGGAGGATATTCTTTATGGCTAAGACTGAGAGACTGAAAATGCTGCAGAGTTTGAAATCTGAATCAGATCATCTTTGGTTGAGAGGAAGGTAGCAGCTGCAAAGATGGTTTGCAGCTTTTCCTTTTGTTTGGGAAAGGCCCTGTATCTGATATATGTCATGATATTTTACCAGTTACTTGCTTACCTGGGATTCTATGGCATCGAGTGCTGGGGAAACAAGATACGATGTGGGCGGTTCTAAGCTTTGAGATCATTGAGAATTATAATTTTAGTTTAAGTGGGGTGAAGAGCACAGAATTATAATGCTCATTTTATTTCACACTACTTGAAGGTTTATTAACAAGGGTGAGAAAATCTATTATCTTTGATCCCAGGTGCTGTGGGGCCTTTTGGATTTAGGCTGATACTTACTTATGAAGTGGAATTTTTGAAGATTTGAGGGACTGTCTTAGCCAGTTTAGTAGTATAAGGCAAAGATAGAGGAATCATTTAAATCTGCAAAAGTATGGAGGATAATAAACAGTTTGTATAAGTGTGAGTATGTCAAAGGTGTTTTTCTCTCTTTAACTTGATAACCTCGCTGTTAACTGGAAGAATGACTTCAGGATGTCTTCTTATATGAGAGGATACAGGCTCTTGGAGAGAGGGGAGGGCTTACAGTTTTCCCTTGGGACTTCATATGTGAATGCTATCTTAGATTCTGGGGGGGAAAAAAGTATGCAGGGTAAGTAGTGGAGAAAAAAACTAAAACACCAATGATTTTAATTTTAGGGGAAAAACTATCAATATATCAATGGATAAATGTGCATAAGCACCTGTAATTTCTCTAAAAAGCAGTGTTAATTCATTTAAATTCACCACGGAAAGATAGCACTTGCAGTTACAAAATTGCTAAATAGTGAATATTATTTGAAGGGCTACCGCAGTCACAAACCAATGAAATGAATTGTGACAGTCATACCATAGCTGGCCCTGCTGCATAGTGCCGTGTTATATTTTTATTGCATTATGTCTCAAAGGCATATAAAGGCTGTGTATTCTGTCTCCATTCATCTGGGTAGAAATGTATTTATTCTAGCTATTCTTTGCACTAGTCACTGGATACACTTCCACAGCATTTCTTTTACTTTCATATTTAAACTCCCATCTTCACCCCAACCCTTTCTCACTCAGCAAGTGACTTTTTCTTCTACTCTGCTGAGAAAATCGAGGCCCTAATTTCTTATCACACATTAATACTGCTTTATATCTTCACCTACCATTTGCTTTACATGCAGAGAATCAGGTTGCCCTTCTCCTTGCTCATTCTAACCACTACGGTTGCCTCCTTTCTATCTCTTTTAGGAGCTTGCTGCAGTGATCATTCACTCTTTTATCTTTAGATTCTCCCTATCAGCTAACTCCTTTTCTGTTGCCTACAAACATGTTCATATGTCCCCTATTCTTAGAAAACCTTTATTTGACTCTTCCAAACGCTCAAGCTTTTGTCTTAAATTTTCCCTTTGTTTCCCTGCTGAATTCCTAGAGTATTCTACACTAGTTCCCTCCATTTCTTACCACTCCTTATTAATTCTAACCCTTTATAGCCAAGCTTGTGAAGTCACCATTGTACTGCAACCACTTTTTGTAAGGTGACCAGAGACCTTTTAATCCAGCCAGTCAACAAGCATTTGTTAGAAGTTTATATATACTGTTTTGTGCTAAGGAATGAGGATACAAAAAAAAGGCAAAAAACCCAACCCTCCACCCCCCCAAAAAAAACCCAACCCAGTCCCTACCCTGAAGGAACATACAGTTGAATAGGGGAGATAATATGAGAAATAAAAGGTAATTACAGAGTAGGTAGAAAGTAGTCTTAGGGAGGAAAGCACTAGCAACTGGGGGCACCAGGATAGGCCTCTTATAGAAGGTGAGGTTTGAACCAAGCCTTGAAGGAAGCCAGGTAAACTTAAGAGGTAGAGAGAAAGAGATGGAACATTGTAGGCATGGGGGACAGCCAAAACAAAGTCACAGAGATGTTAGATTAAACATTTTGTGTTAGGAACAGTAAGTAGACGAGTATGGCTGGAGGAGAGTGTTAGAAGACTAGAAGGGTTGGAAGGAATCAAGTTATGAGGAACTTTAATTGTAAAACGGAGAAATTTCTGTTTGATCCTGGAGGTAACAGGGAGCTCCTAGAGTTTATTCAGCAGGCTAGACTTATATTATGCTTTGAAAAAAAATTCTGGCAGCATAATAGAAGGATTGGAGTGAGGAGAGACTTGATACAGGAAGAATAATTAAAAGGTTATTCTGGTAGTTTAAGTGACAAGTGTTAAGGACCTAAATTAGGGTTGTCTTTCTATGATAGGAGAGAAGGGGATATATATGAGAGGCATTGTGATGGTAGTAATGATAAGAATTGACAATGGGTTGGCTATGTGGAATGAGTGAAAATGGGGAATGTCATAAGTCTGGGTGAGTGGGAGGAAGGTAGCGCCCTCAGCAGTAGTAAGGAAGTTTAGAAGTGGGGAGGTTTGGGGGCAGAGAGATACTGAGTTGTCTTTTGGATATATTAAGTTTGAGATATCCAGTGTACATCCGGTTTAGATGTCTAAGAGGCAGTCTTACATGTAGCTTAGTAGAGAGACCAGGGTTGCATGTGTGAAAATGGAAATCAGTCTGGCTGTAGATATTTGAACCTTTTGGAGCTGATGGTATCATCAAGTAAGGTAGTATCGAATAAAAAGAGAAAGGGGTCAAGGACTGAGCCTTGGATATCACCTACAGTTAGAGGGTGTGCTATGGATGAAGAACCAACAAATGGAGGCTGTGAAGAAGCCTTCTGACAGATAGGAAAAGAACTAGGAGGCATCATTGTCACAAAAACCTAGAGAGGACAGCATCCAGCAAGAGCAGGTGGTCAGTAGACTCAAATGCTGCCGTAAGGTCAGGGAGTATCAGGCTTGAGAATAGCCCATTAAATCAATCAGTAATCACTCAAGAGATATTTATTAAGTACCTACTATGTGACAAGCACAGTGCTAATGCTTAAGTATTAGATTTGGCAGTTAAGAGATTATTGGTAACTTTGGAGACAGAGTTGCAGTTAAATAATGAGTTTAGAAACCAGCTTACAGAAGCTTGTTGTGGAGGCACTGCTGAGAGACTTTTTTTTCAAGGAGTGTAGCCATTAAAGTGGGGAGAGATAGAGGATAATAGTGAATGGGATTAGATATATCAAGTGAGGGTTTTTTAAGTATGGGGCAGTCATGGGCATGATTGTAGGCGGTAGAAAAGCAACTAGTAGACAAGGAGAGATTTAAGATGAGAAACTTTTCTGGAAAAGATGGGATGGGGATAGGCCAATACTTAGTAGCTGTGTGACTGTGGATAAATTACTTAATCTCTCTTTGCCTGAGTTTTCTTGTCTGTAAAATGACAACTCTGGTACCTACCTTATAGGATTGTTGTTAGGCTCAAATAAAATGTACACGATGTGTACTTTAAAGTGAATATTTATTATTTCTGCCATGAATATTATTGATATTTAATATCCCCACAGCATCACTTTTTACATTACGTTTTGTATTAAAACATCTTCTTATTTTATAGGATAATAAAACTGCTCTGTATTGGGCTGTTGAAAAAGGCAATGCAGCAATGGTGAGAGATATCCTGCAGTGCAATCCAGATACTGAAATATGCTCAAAGGTTTGTGTTTAGCTTAATAAAAATTGAAATAAAACAGGAATATTTAGTTCCCTTGGTCTCATCATATCATTAAAAAAAGTTTATGGTTTTTTTTATTTCTCTTATAATTGAAAATCTTCAGTTAGGTACTATTCTAGTGAAGATAGTCCTAATTTATTGACAATAAATTGTGGTTAATATCATGGGAGCAGGTGATTAAGAGCTGCACAGAATGGGAAGGTGTAGATGGGATTGGTGTTATTAGAGGGAATGCCCCTATCAATATGAATATAGATATATTTGAATATTAGAAAGTAACTTTGTGGAAAGTATCCAGGCTGTTAGGTTACAGTTCTGGTCTGCAGTATTTTTCAGATTTGCATTTTATTGTGTCTGCATGGTATTTTAGCAATATTAATATATTATTATAATATGATAATTACGTTATTATAATGTATAATATATACTACAATAATAATTACATAAGTAATTATAATAATGAATATAAAATTAACTTCATATAGCTTAGGTAAAGAAAAACTTATTTTAAGGCAAATTTTTAACATGAGACCATCTTAAACTGAACTTTGTTAACGAGATATACCTCCTTTTTTTAGGATTTGTAAATTCTTTAAGTTCATAACATTTTAGTGTAATTTGTTTTTAAAAATACCGTAGTTAATTAAAGTTTTCAGTTTAGTAAACATGAAAAACATTTTTCTCCTTAGGATGGTGAAACACCACTTATAAAGGCCACGAAGATGAGAAATATTGAAGTGGTTGAACTTCTGCTAGATAAAGGAGCTAAGGTGTCTGCTGTAGATAAGGTAAAAAAGGGAAGAAAACCCCACAAACTCATACCAGTAATTTCTATGTAGAGGTAGTATTTTAGATAGCAATCCTTTGACCAGTTTTGTCCATTTATGCTCATGAGTGTTAAGGTCTGTTTTTGTGGAGAGAAGGGATACTTTGAGTGGTTACGTGTATGATTGTGAAATTCTGTTGTCTTTTCAGTTAGTAATATTAGTATGTCGTGTCAAAATAAGGAACTAGTGTGATAAAAATCTGTTTGAATTTCTTTTTATGTTAGTTGTAATAGGCCATTGTTGGACTTAATATTGAGCCCTTTCCAACTTAGTGTAGGATCTGTGGAGTTTGTGTTCCACTGGAATAGCCTTCAGGAACCCAAGGCCATCTCCAAATTATGGTAAGGCATTGAAGGGGTGGGTATGTTAGTGGAGGATATATATATTACATTTAATTACTTACAGTCAGAGAACACTTGAAGAACATTTTGATTGAGAACAAGTCATATATTAATTTGAACTGTTAGCTGTTCTTTAAAGTTATTCCCTAGGGACTTTGATAAAGTAACATTTTGTATTTACTTTGTATTTTGAGAGGGGCAGCTAGGTGACACAGTGGAGAGAATGCTGGGCCTGGAATCAGGAAGGCTCCTCTTCCTGAGTTCAAAGTTGACCTCAGACACTTACTAGCTGTGTGACCCTGGGGAAGTCACTGAGCCATTTGCCTATTTCCTCATCTGTAAAATGAGCTGGAGAAGGAAATGGCAAACTACTCCATTATCTTTGCCAAGAAAACCCCAAAAGGGGTCATGAAGAGTCAGACACAACTGAAAAACAACTAGACACCAAAATCATATGCTGAGAAAATAGCAAACGTCAGTAAATACTTGATAAATTGAACAGTTCATCCGAATGTTAGCTTTTTCAACAAATATTTACTCACCTCTTTTGTAATGTGCTATTTGTCACTTCTTGCCTCCACCTCAAATTACCTTTCTTCTTTTAAGATGCATTTTAAACACTGTCTTCTGCATGAAGATACCTTTCTTGACCTTCCCAACTTCTAATACCCTTCCTCCCAAACTACCTTATATTTAACTACTTTTTAAGAATAGGAATTTTTTTTTTGTTCTTTGTACTTGTATTCTCAGTTGTTAAGATGGTGCCTTGCAAATAGTAAGTGCTTAATGAAGGGTTATGGATTTATTGGTGGTCCTCACTCTTAATGACTTAAAAGTAGGAGGAAATAGTTGCAACAGTATCTGTAGTAGGAAGGAAGTATGTAATAAGTGACATATGAGTAGTACAGATTAAGATTTTAAAGATTCAGAGGCATTACTCTTGTTTAGGAGAATCAGAGAAGGCATTTGAGCTTGGCCTTAGAGGATGAGTTAGTTTAGAGTATGGTAGGGAAAGATACATCTTTCCACGTGCATTCCCGGCAAAATGGACAACATGAGAAAGGTATGAAAGCACCATGTAAGTTAAAGGAATGGTAAAAGTAGTCTAAATTGAGCTAAAGAATTGGACCTGTATCAGGAAGTAACATTAAATGAGTCTGGAAAAGTAGATTTGTACTGCATTGTGGCAGAACTTGAATACTAAGGAATTGAATTTAGAATTTATTTGGTAGACACTGGTTTTATGAGGGGGATGACAAATGTAATCAAAGTGGTGGCTATAGAGTCTGGGGACTGTTTGACCCAAAGAGTCCACTACTAGGCAGTCATATGTCCCACGGAGGTCAAGAACAAAAGTAAAGGTTCTGTGTAATACCAAAATATTCATAGCAGTACTTTTTTGTGGAAATATGGAATTCAGTGGGGAGGCTGTTTGCAGTAGTCTAGACTTGAGCTCTCAAACTCCAAATGTTAATTGCAGAAATAGGAAGGACTTCCCAGTCCTCAGATACTGGTTCCTCAACCCTTTGTCCTCTACTATTTCTTGCAGCAAATTAGCTTCCCTGGAATTGTATTCTTCTGGTTTCCTTTCTGCTTCTCTGGCTATTTCACTGACTCCTCTTTGAGAGATTGTAGACTAGTTTCAGTGATAGAATGTGAGCTCCCTGAGGGCATGGGGCTCTGTATTTCTAATGCTTATTGTAGTCCTTGGGACATGGTAGGCATTTAATAAATTTTTGTTGATTGATAGTAACTACTTGCCCTCCCTCTAATTCCTGCCAAACAGACAAAACCCACAAAACCCTAAACCCTGTTCTTTAAATATTATTTCTGGTTCTTTTTGGTCTGTTTTTTGAGAAATCTGTCAATGAAAAGAAGGAGAATTTGGGGAGTAACTGAAGAGAAGCAAGAAATTTTTTTTTTAATTATAGGAATGACAAATGCATTTTTAGGGAAAGAAAAAGGAGCCAGTAGAGAAAGAAGGAAAACTTGTAAGATGAAAACTTATAACAGAGAGAGGGATTGAAGGAACAAGGTTCTGGAGAAAATTAGAAAAGATGGAAACCAGTGAACAGATGGAAAGAAAGCATCTTTCTCATAAAATAGAGGGAAAGATTAAAGTAGGTAAAATTAGAGATATTTTAAATGGATAGAGGAAGGCATGGTGATAGATGGAATAGGAAGAAGAGTACAAAGAGCTTTTGCCAGATAATGTCAGTAAAGTAGATGACTTTCTCTAGTGATGATGAGGAATGTGGGTTAGAATTATTCATTTGAGAAGTATTGAAAAAGTTTGAAAGAGTTATGTGTGACTGAATTAGGAAATGATTTAAAAGAGATGATCAGATAGCAATTGAAACCTTTTTAAGATTAGATAACATTAAACCATAGCAGATCTAGTTAACATATTTTCCAGACTTAGGTACAGCATTGCTAGATTTCTCAAGAATGAAATTAGAGAAAAAATAGAATTGGAATGAGACATGCTGGTAATTGGCATAGAAAGTATAACAATCACAGAAAATGAAATTAAGTATACCAAAAAAGAAATAATAAAAAAGGAAATTCTGTTGTAGACAGATTTAGAGGATCTGACCAAATATTTAAAGAGAAATTAGTTCCCATGACATTCAGCTTATTCTTAATGACAAGAAAGTACTTAGCAAAATACCTTTTATGAGACAAATATGTTCCTAATGCCTTAACCAGGCAGGGCTAAGCAGAGAAAGAGACATAGAGAACATCACTAATAGTTACTGACACAACAATTTTAAACAAAATCATAGTGAAAACACCACAACAGCATAGCCAAAAATATTTCATTATGACCATGTTAGAATTATCCAGCAATTCACATATAGTTGTGGTAGTGAAGACTTGGAAAGAAAGTAGAGTCTTTTGATTAGTGAGAGGTTAAACAGATTGTTTTATATCAGTGTAATGGAATATAAGAAGCAGTGTAATGGAATATAAGAATATGAGGAATTCAGAAAAACATTGGAAGACATGTCAACTGATGAGCACGACATAAGCAGACCCAACGAGACAAAATACGTAACGACTAAAGCAATGTAGATGGAAGGAAAAAAAATTATTAATAGAGTCTTTGCAATCCCAAAGACTATACTTGGCTCTAATTGGATTTTCTTTACTGTTTTTGTTTCTTTATTATTACCAGGAAAAGTTCTAGATACGAATGAGATTAAAGGAGAGAAAGGTTAGGGGTTGGGAGATTGTGACTTAGAATAGTAAGTATAGATGAAAAGGATAATGATACTAGGCTGTTTCTCATTTAGTTTGAATTTGTGAGGTTTGATTGTGTATAAATGCATGAAAACCCAAATATTTGTCATAATTTTGTAGAAAGGAGATACTCCTCTCCATATTGCCATTCGTGGCAGAAGCCGGAAGCTAGCAGAACTTCTTTTAAGAAATCCAAAAGATGGACGACTGCTTTATAGGCCAAACAAAGCAGGAGAGACACCATATAACATTGACTGTAGCCATCAGAAAAGTATTTTAACTCAAATATTTGGAGCCAGTAAGTATTGTTTTATGTGAGAGTGAGTTTATTTTACTTTAATGAAATACATTTCCATTATGAAAGCATAAAGTAATCAAATATTTCAAGGAATATGTGTTTGTGTGTGTAATTATATGCATTTATTGATTTAATTGATCTATCTACCTGTGTCATATTTATGGAACAAAAATTCCTGAACTACTTTTACATTGTCACATACCTGAAATAGATATTCTGTGAAATATTAAATATGCAAAGTTTTAATATGGGAAAATATGAACGTTATAAAGTAAGTGTTCATGTGTGGCCTTTTAAATATATTAAGGAAGCTTTAAACACAATTTATTAATATTTCTAATAGATCCAGAAAACAATTCTAGGTACAAAAGTGCTTAAAAGCCATTTCCATTTAGTTTCTTATTTTGGCACACATTTATTTAGATTTAATTTTTAATTTTTTTGAGGGCTGTTTACATTATCTCTTCCTTTTATTTGTAAGGTAATTTTTTTTTGTTTTCCTTGATTATATGAATCCAAAAAAGTAATAATATTTCATATTACTTTGAAATGATATAAGTAAAACCATCTTTTAATACAGTTGTGTGATGTTTTTAATTCACAGGACATTTATCTCCAACTGATGCAGATGGAGACATGCTTGGTTATGATTTGTATAGCAGTGCTCTGGCTGATATTCTTAGTGAGCCAACCATGCAACCCCCCATTTGTGTGGGATTGTATGCCCAGTGGGGAAGTGGGAAATCTTTTTTGCTCAAGAAATTAGAAGGTAAAGTGATTGAACTAATTTTTATATTCATAAGAACTTCTTATATAGTAAGTTTTTAGATTATCATTAAAAATATTTCTAAAGAAAAGAATTGTATGTAGGATTTTGTAAAGTGTGATATTATCCCTGTTGTGGCACCCCAAGCCCTACCTTTACCTGGATGAAATTCAGTCTCTAGGGGCTGGCCTCAAATCATGTCTCCTGAGAGTAAGGACTGTTTTTTCCCCCTTTTTTTTCCCCCAGTGTTTAGTGTTGTGTGTCAGGCAAATAGTAGGTGCTTAATAAATGTTAAGTGACTGACTGACTTTGGCTTATTTTGTCCCCATCTAGAGTTTATTTTGAAACTTCAAAATATAGCTTGTGTCTAGGTTTTCACCAAGTAGTGTGGTTAAAACGATCTTAGCTCTCCTGCAACCATGCAAAGCAACAAAGTATAGTAGGCACAAGACAGCTTTTTTTCACTTCATAGAAAAATATAAAAGCACATAAAAGATTCACAGTGGCCTATAATAGCAAAATTATTTTCCCCTTTCCATTGTTTCCTTTCACCCTAGGGACGTATACTGACCTTTAGCCATACAGAACTACCTAAAAAGGTTGTACTTTCTTAGGAGAGAAATGAATTTCAGAGGTAATAGAGTCACCCTTTCTTTTACTCCCATGGTCCTAAGAACTTGAACTTTTCTCCAGAAGGAAGTGAACCTAGGTGTCTTAAAGAAGCAACTTCTTTCCCATCTGAATTGTAGTACTAGAATAATTCGTGGTAGTAACACATGGCAAAGTCCAGGTTTTTGCTTTTCTGTATCAGGGTTGAGTACTTTCTTGATCCTCAAATCTCTAGGGCCAGATGTGTGATCCTCAGTTTAAGAACTCTTGACATTCCTCCAGAAGGCTTGAATTCTGAAACTCTGAGTGTCTAATGACATAGATTCCCCCTCAACAGCAAAATGCCATTCCTGAGTCTAAGAGGTCAGGTCCCTGTCTCTCTACAGCTGAATCCAAAATCCCCTCCTCCATTTAGGATATTTTGTGATATGGCTGCATTGGCTTCTGCAACCATTTCGATAAGAGGTTCCATCACCATATCTCATTGCCATGGCCAGGGAAACCCTATGCAATTGTATGTGTAAGTAAGAGAGAATTTGCAACTAATTGTACCTGGTATTCCTATCCTTCCCTTCCCTTCCCCCAATTTTCCAGTTTGCTCTTAAGTGTCTGTTTTTTGGTTCATGTGCAGCTCTCACACAGTGGCCTGAACCAATCAGATCATCCTGAAATACTGAGATTTAATCATCCATCCTCAGTAAGTCAAATAAGTTGACTCACAAGTATTCAGCATTCATTGCCCCCAAGTATCCTTGATTTGCTTAGCAGGTCATATTCCTTGGGCAGGTAAAAGTGACAAATAATGCTTTACCTCTACAACCAGAAGTGGATCAGACAATCTTGATCACATTTATCTCCTTTTGAAACAGATGGAGAGATACTTAGTTATGAAATAGGCAAAAGTGCTTGTGTGGAATTGTATGCACATTGGGGAAGTGGGAAATCTATCAGTCTCAAAAAATTGGAAAGTAAAGTAATTGACCCAATTGGTGGATTTGCACCTGCTTTCAGGATGCATTTTCAAAAAGTTATCACACCACGAGTTTTTATAAGCAAATTGTTTTGTTGTAAATTTCTGGAAAAAATAAAAAAAAATTAAGTAGAATGAGACGTTAAAAATTACTAACATGCGCTTATTCCATTTTTTTCTGTTTTACAGATGTTTTGAAAATATTAGAACTTCAAAATGACTTTGTATGTGCTCATTTCTGTTCTTAAGAGTTTTGTCTTATTTCTCTTTCAGATGAGATGAAAACTTTTGCTGGACAACAAATTGAACCTCTTTTCCAGTTCTCATGGCTTATAGTATTTCTTACACTGTTGCTCTGTGGAGGGTTGGGTTTATTGCTTGCTTTTACTGTGGACCTGAAACTTGGAATAGCAGTGGCATTAAGCTTCTTGTCACTCCTGTATATATTCTTTAGTAAGTCTTTGCTTTTATTCTTTTCACACATTGAAAAATATGTCAGACTTCATTGTTTTATTTAATATGATTGACATTTTGATTTTTTGTATTGAAAGTTAAAAATACTATTGCTGGAAGTATAATATATGAATGTAATAGTATGAGTGGAAAAGTTTAACCACAAATTACATACACTTGCCTGCTAATTCTTTTTATCACACTAATTGGCTTGGGAAACAAGCTGTATTCTAATTGGTTTCAGTGTCTTTCAAAATGTATGTAAAATTTCTTTTATCAGACATAAGCATCATTATAAGAAAGCCTCTTAGTTATATATTGCCTACATTAGACTTTATTTAAATGAAATTATGTCATTATATTTTTCTAGTTGCAGATTGAATAGCTCCTCTACTTTAGAGGAGTACTGGCTATCATTGCATTTTTCCTGAAACAAAGGAGATAAAAATAATTCCTAATCCTTCATCTGAGTGTTGTCTTCGTTTGCAAGAAGAGAACTGTTTATGTATTCTACTACTATATGAACCATAGATTTGTTTTTCTAATTATATTTTACTTAGGCTAACATTAAATGAGCCCATAGACCCTAAATGTAAAGCAGTGAGAGGTGGGTGGTAGGTAGTATAATTGGATGGCCCTGGATTATGGCATTTGGTATGCAGAAGTTGGCATTAAATTTAAAAGTAACGTAGTGCATTATTCACTTGTGAGTCATTGAATTAAATCTGACTACTTGAATTTTATTCCTTTGGGAAATGAATGTGAAACTGATTACCTAAAATGCTTTTATTGGGTTTATTTTTATGTTTCAGCTGTAATTTACTTTGGTGGTCGAAGGGAAGGGGAAAGTTGGAATTGGGCCTGGGTGGTAAGCACTAGGTTAGCAAGACATATTGGCTACTTGGAACTCCTCCTCAAACTGATGTTTGTAAACCCCCCTGAATTGCCAGAGCAAACTACAAAAGCTTTACCTGTCAGGTGAGCCGAATGATTTTTGTTTTTCATTTCTTCCTTGAAAATACCATGCTATGTTCAGTCAAAAGTAAAAATGTAATGGATTAAGGAAAAATTTCTCTTCTGGTTATGTTAATTTTTTAGTATGTACAAAATTCTATGGAACATAAAATTTTAAAAGTTTGGTGGTTTAATAGCTAAATCTGTTAATAATTTGTTGCCATGAATGATTTAATGTTTTATTAGTTTGCAGATATTTCCTAATTAAGCATAATAGCAAGTTGATAAAGAATTTATATTCATAATTATATTCGTATACATATTTTAGACATGGAAACTCAGAAGCAAAGATGCCTTAGTCTTCTTAGAAAATCAGCTACACTTGTAACAGAAACTAGATTATGAATAATTTTATTTAGAATTCTCTTGATTTTCTTAAATTTATTTTGCAGTTTGAAAGTATTATTTGCTATGACTTTTTATCCATTAGACTTGTTCCTTTTGGCTTCAGAGCATAGATCAAAGAACAATAGAGGGAAGTTGCAAAAAAAGCAAATCAGCCTTGAGATCAGGAAAAACATATTTACCATCATTAGCTATCTGAAGGCAGAGTGAGGGGCTTCAGGAGGTGACAGAATGGGTTTCCCCAGTTTCCTACTCTGTGTGTGTGTGTGTGTGTGTGTGTGTGTGTGTGTGTGTGTGCGCATGTGTATAGATCTGCCTGATTTTCTTCCTATCTATCTAGCTAGCTATGTAGCTTTCACATAATTGTCTGCATGTTGTCTCTTCCATTAGACTTTGAACTCCTTGAGATTAGGGACTGTCTTTTGCCTTTCTTTGTACCCCAGCACTTATCACAGTGCCTGGCATATAATAGTAGATGCTTGATAAACGTTTATTGATGACTGGCTGAATATGAGGAATTCACAGAAATTTTGGAATATTTCTTTGGATCTGATGCAGAGTAAAATAGAGAACCAGAAGAATAATAAACACAATTCCCATAATAATGTACCTGAAAAAAATAATAAAAGTAACTCTTAAGTAAGTATAATAACCAATCTAGTCCTGAAGAACAACTAGTAAAGCACAGCTTCTTTATCTAAGCATAGAGCTATGGAATCATGGGGACAGAATGTTGTATATACATTGTCAGACTTAGTCATTTTATCAGTTTTTATTTGGGGCTTAACTGTTTATCTTTGTTGAAATGTACGATTCAGTTCCAGAGGTGGAAGTGGGGTTCCTCTATCCAGGAATGGATGTGATATTAAAAAAAGGCATTTATTAAATTTATGAAGTTAAAAAAAATTAGTTTGTGGACAAGGTCCACAGCAGCCTTTTTACAGGTAGCTAGATGCATGCAGTGGAGAGAGTGCTGGGCCCAGAGTCAGGAAGACCTCAAATGTGGCCTCAGACATTTACTAGGTGTTTAACCTAGGGCAAGTCGCTTAGCCCTGTTTACCTCAGTTTCCTCACCTATAAATGAGGTGGGGAAGGAAATGGCAAGCCACTCTAGTATCTTTGCCCAGAAAACTCCAAGTGGAGTCATGAATAGTCGGACATGACTGAAACGACTCCACAGCAACAACAAACAAACCTGGTCATGCGTCTTAAAGGAAGAGAGTGACTCTGAGATAGAAATAAGGAAGGAGTGCATTCCTGGTGTGTTGGAATGGCCAGTTCAAAGGCCTGGAGATGGGCAATGTGAGTATCATGTATGAAGATGAAAGAAAAAAGCAGTTTGGCTGGATTGTAAAATCACTGAGTATGGGAAGGGAAAGTAATGTCCAGTGAGGTTGAAAGGCTAGGTTCTCTAGGGCTTTGAGTGTGGAGTTTATATTTGATCCTATATTAGATCCTAGATAGAAAGCCCCCGGAGTTGCTTGAGTAAAGGAGTCTCATAGCTCTATTTCTTTAAAGGAATATTACTTTGTTAGTAGTATATAGGTCATATAGTTTATTTCTGCATCTCCTTACCACCTGATTATCGATTTCATGGTCCCAGTTTTGTTCTTTTATCTACTCCTTGATACTTGTATTTCACAAAACGCTCTATTCCTTTATAATGAAAAGAGTGCTTAATGTGTGGTTGGGAACATCTGGGTTTAAATCCCATTTCTGATCCTGACCTTCTGTCCCTGGTAGTTGGAGTTACTCTCTTATCCTAATTCTGCTTCATTGTATATATCTAACCTCAACCCTGGTTTCCTCATATATAAAATGGGGATACTTGCAGTATCTATCTCACAGGTTTGTTGTGAGGCTCAAATAAGAAATGTATGTAAAGTTCTTTGCAGAGTATAAAGCATTATATAGATGTCAACAATTACAGTTTGTGGAATTTAGAAAAATTGATTGCAATTTTAGAAAATATCTATGATAATAACTAGAGAGAGCCAACCTTGAAGCCAAGAAAATCTTGGTTCAAGTCTTGCCTTTGATCATGTTGGCTATGTGTTTTTTATTGTTTGGTTTTGTTCAGCAGTTTGTGACCCGATTTCGGGTTTTCTTGACAAACATACTGGAGTAGTTTGCTGTTTCCTTCTCTGGCTCATTTTACAGAAGAAATAAATGTCTGAGGCCAGATTTGAACTCAGGAAAATGAGTTTTCTTACTCTAGGCCCGACACTCCATCCATTTCGCCACCTAGCTGCCCTATTGGCTACATAACCCTAAGCAAACCATAACCTCTCCATACTCTAGGTAATTGTCTACTAAGGCTATAAAGAGAGTGTTTCCTCACCTGAGAGTTCCCTAGACTAATGAAATCAAAGGTATAGTTCCTATATGGTATATAAACATGTACATACATATCTTTTAAGACAATTTGACTGCTCTGGTTTTTGTATTGTCTTCTTGTAATCATTTTCCATCAAGGTGTGCTAAGAAGATGATTTCTTCCCTCCCTTTCATTAATTAAGAGATTATTTCCATCTAACTTTACTAGTAGGCGTTCTATAGCAATTGTCATCTCTTCACTTATTAATCATATGACCTCACCGAACCTCACTTTTTTTTTAGCAAAATAAAGGCATTGGGCAAAATGGGCCCTAAGGCCCCCTTTCATATTTAATATTTTGTGATCTTTTTCTTCTCATTGGATAAAAACCATTTTTTTAAAAATTGACATTTGTCAGACCTAATTCATGTTCCTTGACTGTTTGAAAATGTAGAGGTTTTTTTATATTTCTATTTAGAAAAAAAGATTAATTAAAAGACAATGAAATAATCCAACTGGTTTATAAGACTGTTGTAATCCAAATTTTATTCAAATAATGACAAAATATATTTTTCTTTTTTAAAAAGGTTTCTATTTACAGATTACAATAGACTCTCTAGTGTGGGTGGAGAAACTTCTTTGGCTGAGATGATTGCAACTCTTTCTGATGCTTGTGAAAGAGAATTTGGTTTCTTAGCCACAAGACTTTTTCGGGTATTCAAGACTGAAGATACACAGGGTAGAACTTTTATATTTCTTTGTTTTGTATTTTAATGTAATAGTTTTATTTATTTCTTTTTATATATATTTTAAATTCCTCATAGCATGTTGTCTTGTATCGTAATAATTTTATATTGTACTTTGACTATTGAATTAAGTTATCTAGACATTAGAAGCATAAATAATGTCCAAAACTCTTTTTATGTATTACAGGAAAAAAAAAGTGGAAGAAAACTTGCTGCCTTCCATCTTTTATCATCTTCATTTTCATCTTGGGTTGTATTATTGCTGGAATCACTCTCCTTGCTATATTTAGAGTTGACCAAAAACATATGACAGTGAATGCTATTCTTATATCAATTGCATCTATTGTTGGTTTGGCCTTCATTTTAAACTGTCGTACTTGGTGGAGAGTACTAGACTCTATCCTGAATTCTCAGCGTAAACGTCTCCATAATGCAGCAACCAAACTGCACAAGTTGAAAAGTGAAGGTTTCATGAAGGTAACTAAATATTGAAATATTTACAACAAAAACTCTAGCTCATAGATTTTCTAGGATTATAAGCATTGAGCTGTGTTTAAAACATTGTGACCTTAAAAATTTTTAGGTTTAATTTCATTTGGAATTAAATTCAGGTATATTCCTTAGCTGTGGATATGCTGTAAAGCTTTCTCTTGGCATCTCTCATCCACTGAGATCAATTATTATCTCTACACAGATCACTTTTAATGGCCATTGTCTACATGAAACTTTTCTTGATTTCTTTAGATGCTTGTTTTGTTCTTTCCCCTTGATTTACTGTGTATGTATTTGTAAATTCATGTTGTCTTCTTTGATAAAATGTGAGCTCCTTGAGGGCAGAAACTGTTTCATTTTTGTCATTGTATCCTTACCATCTAGCACAGTGCCTGGCACCCAGTAAGTGCTTCATAAATGCTTGGTGATGGGTGAATATATGTCCTACTATATAGCTTTCTATTTATGCTATTCTATATCAAAGGGCTTTTCAGGGCTTTCCATAAATAGTAATTATTTCTTTTATAGTAGAAAAAAGGAATAGATATTAGCTCTGCCCAAGGAAACTGAGGCAAGGCAGAATGACATAATAGAAAAAACATTGTTAGTTTGGAGACCTGGGTTCTCTGAGCCTTAGTTTTCTTACTTGTAAAATGAAAGCAATGGATCATGATCTCTAAGTCCCCTTCCAGTAGTGAATTTTTTAATTCCAAGTACCTTGATCATAGCTTTCAGGTAGACCAAAGATGTATAAATTTGATCTCTTTAATCTGTTTTCCTGGTCAGTTGTTTTCCTGTCAGATATTTTATCTTTTCTTCTATTTTTTTTTCCCAGTCTTTTACTTTGTTTGTTATTTCTTGTTATCTCATGGAGTCATTCCATTTAGCCAGTTCTAATTTTTAAGGCATTATTTTCTGCAGCAAGGTTTTGTACCTCTTTTATCAAGCTATTGATTCTTTTTTCATAACTTTCTTGGTTAGCTCATTTCTTTTCCCATTTTTCCTCTACATTTCTTATTTGATTTTTTTACATCACTTTTTTTTTTAGCTCTTTAACTCTTCTAGGAATTCTTTTAGGGCCTATGTCCAATCTGCATTTTTTCCTTGAGGCTTTGCTTGTAGATATCTTCAAGTCATTTTTTCCTTCTGTGTTGGTCTTGAGTTTCCTGTCATCACAGAAACTGTGGTCAGCTTCTTTTTTTGTTTGTTTGTTTGCTCATTCTTCCAGCCTACTTCTTGACTTTGGCTTTGCTCATTTCTGGGGGGATGTGGGAAAAGTTTGTCACTTTCTCCTCAGTCTGGGGGAACCTGAAGTTTTTGGTGCTTCTAAAGTGATGTGATCCAGGGAGAAGTCTTTTCACAGCCCTCCTTATCTGAATTCTGGAAGTCACTGACCCAGATTTGGGTTTGTTGGATTTTGTATAGTTGAGTTTAAGTAGACTGTGGCTGAACTTAGTCACTGTTGGCCTGTTGTGAGATTCTGCAGTTTCAGAGAGACTGAGCTGCTGGCTGCCCTTTGATCTTAGCTTCTGCCCTGGTTTTTCCATTGTAGTCTTTGTTCTGGTCTAAAAGTTAGAACTGAGTCATTTCTTTGATCTTGGGCTCAGAGCCACACAAGCTCAGTTTCTGGAATTTATTGCTCTGCTTTCCTGGATCTGTGACCTAGAACATCGGGTGACAGAGCTGCCAGATGGCTCCTGCCCCCATCACTAGTTGAGGAGTCTCCTGGGATTCTGCCTTGGTGCTTGCTCCTGTCTTGCTGCCACTGCCACCACCCTGTACTCCTGACCAACTTCTGCCTTAGCATCTGTAGACTTTTTTGTTTCTCTTCCTAAGTTGCCCTGGGCTGGAAAAATGACTCACTGTGACTTTCTCTTGGCTTTTTATCAGTCTGGCATGTTTTCTAAGTTGTGGAGGAGTGTGTGTGTGTATGTGTTGGTAAAGCTAAGCAAAAATGCCACTCTGCCATTTTGGTTCCACCCTCTAAGTAACTTGATCGAAGTAATGTAATATCATGAATGAAACCAGAATTTGAAGCTAGGATTCTAGACTCTTGAGTCTGTATTTGTTTTACTGGAGTATTTTGCATTAATATTAAAATAAAAAACAGCTTTCTTTTATGAAATATTTCATTATAACTTAAATGCTTTCTTTTGAACAGGTTCTGAAATGTGAAGTGGAATTGATGGCTAGAATGGCAAAAACCATAGACAGCTTCACTCAGAATCAGACGAGACTAGTGGTCATCATTGATGGGCTAGATGCTTGTGAACAAGACAAAGTCCTACAGATGTTAGACACAGTATGTTTTCAGTCATTTTAATTTAGTCAAAGAGTTTTATGTACTTGGTGGTTTACTATAGAGGCCAAATTTTATATTATTTTAACTGAAGTAAATTTGAGAGTTTTGCATTAAAAGTAGATGCCACAGGGTGTATTATGTTTCCTTTTTTATTAATAATTTTTGTGAGTAATTTTCAACTCTTTACATGGTTTTGATTTATCAGTAGTAATAAAAGATAGTATTTCTTAGGTGGAAACATCAAGCTCAAATATTTAACATTAAAAAAACAGATCTTATAGAAGATATGACAGCTGAAAAAACAGTGTAGTAAAGAGCAATGAATTTGGAGTCAGGGGATATATACTTGAATTTTCGCTTTGCTGTTCACTAACTCTGTGACCTTGGACCAATCTTTTAACCTCTTAGAGCTTCAGTTTCCTTATCTGTAAAATTAAGCTATTAGACTAGATGGCCTGTAAGTTTTTTTCTTATCTTACAACTTATATTTTAAGTCTAATGAGGATGTGTGATAGAAATGGTGAAGGTGTTTCTCTAGGGGTTTCTGTGAGTCATCACAGATGGTTGTGGACAGAACTGGAGGTGGTAGTGGGGAACCCCAAGTGCTGTTAATAAGCAGGACACATTAGGTATACTTCTAAGCAGTAGCATGAAGCACCACACCATAGACCATAAAGATGAGTATAAAGATACTGTAACCCATAAAGATGGTACCTGTGCTCAGTCTAGTTGAGAGAAAGGCTTTAAAAATAATTATGGAGGGACCAAATCATAGAGCAATGTGTATATGGGAAAGTGGGAGAGGAGAAGTGGGGAACCTCTGGAGTCTACCCTTTCTCTCTTCTCCCCTACCCAGAAAAAATTTGAATCACAGTGGAGAGAAGTAATCAATAGTTAGTCAGTTGATGAAGAATGTACCAGTGATTACACTTAGAGTAAACTATGTCAACTCTTACTCCTAAAACTTTTTCAGTAAAAGCAGTTTATACTGAAGATTTTTATAGTGAATCAGAAAAGATACACTTCCAGAAGGAAAGATGCAAAATAAGAATATTGGGAATGATACATCTCTATCAGCAGGACTTAACCTCAAACAAAGAAAACCATGGATTTTCTGATAACTCTTTTCTGTGGTAACAAAATATAAAACCTCACCTTGGAAATGTCCGTGACCAAGATGATGACTAAATGTTGTGTTTTGAGATTGATTGGGCTGTGGAGAGATGTGATATTAAAAAACTTTATTTTTTAAAGAATCTTTTAAAATTATTGTGGGAGTTACTTTTTAAAAAGTTTAAAATTAGAGATAATTCATGCTTCATATGTAAATTTCAAGACATTTGCTGATTTAGTAGTTACATGTGATTAGTTTTAAAGGTCTATAAAAAGGACATGACGGGCAGCTAAGTGGCACAGAGGACAGCAGCCCTGAAGTCAGGAGTACCTGAGTTCAAATCCGGCCTCAGACCAAACACTTGACACTTACTAGCTGTGTGACCCTGGGCAAGTCACTTAACCCCAATTGCCTAAAAAAAAAACAAAACAAAAAAACAAACAAAAAAAGGACATGATACTTTTCGAAGAATCTCATAATTAGTCACAGTTATTAGCACATTAAGAAGGAAGCCCTATGTTTCTGACTCTTTAAATGTTCAAATGAAAAGCGACTATATAACTTCAGCTTTACGTAAACCTGTCTAGCTTCCATAAAAAAAACCTTATAGAGAAGAATTATTATATTGCAAGGAAATTGATTTGAAAATAAATTATTAGACAAAATAGAAATATGAAAGCTTTTTTCCTGTGTATATTTTTTGTTTAATAAAATGCAAAAAAGCATGGCTTTGCTCTTAGAATGCTACAGAAGCTTAGCTCCTAATAGAAACAAGAAAAAAAATCAACTTCTTGACATGATACAGTTTGAATAACCCTAACAGGTCTTGTCTTATTTTCATGGTTTTCTAACTTAAATAGTCATTGCGGGAGTAATTTAGTATTTTCAGAGTGCCTCTTTGAGTTATCTGTATAAAGAAACTTTGGTAAACATTTATTCCAGAACCTAAGGTCAGTATTAAGGAAGCTGTTTCTTTTGAAAAGCAAGCCACTACCAAAAATAATTCTCATTCATATACACATGGACACATATTGTTATACACATACACACAGTACATACACATATATACACACGTATTTATACATAACTATATTTCTTAAATACATTTTGCTTCTTTTGGTTTTATTATACATTTGTTAGAACATATAAATTATTGATTTACTTGATGAAATCCAATTTGAACTTTAGCAAGGTCAATTTTCTCATTAATATACTAGTATAATAATAAGCTGATATTGGTAAATTTTGGTAAATATTTCATGAATTTTGTAAATATTCACAATAAGTCCAGATTTTAGATAATGCAAACAGTGTTATCCCCCTTAAATAGGTCTTTAAAATACTTGATGAAAGATCTTACCACTTTTCTACTGAGTCTGTTAAGTTCTGAGTGGCTTTTTAAATTTTTAATAGTATATATAATGTTAAGTTTTTTTGAATTATGAGCCATTTGAAAAAAATCTATACTAGCATTTTTAAAAGCTTTGCCATAAATAAATATTTTCTTTATTTTAAAATATTTTTATTTTCTTTTTTGATGCTTAAAAGATGTAATGAATTGTCTATATATACAGTGAGTATCCATCATTATCATGCAATAGTTATACAACTATTGTGAGAGGTTAACTGCCTCTGAATTTACCCAACATTTTCTTAAAACCAGTTGATTCAGCACTGTGTGCTGTGCATCAGCTCCATAACTCTCACGTCCTATCTGTCTCTTCTCTTTACAATGACACAGTTACACAGTTCAAACTAGTTTAAAAAGTAAAAAAATAAAAAATGAAAAATGAAAAATTTAAACAGGCATAAAGCAGTTCGAACTGCTAAAACCAGTCAAAACTGGCCCAAACCAGTTCTAACGGGCCCAAACATCAAAACCAATGCAAAAGAGCAAAAGCCATTTCAAAATGGCAAAAAACAGTTCCAAACCAGTTCAAACCGGTAAAAACCAATTCAAACCAGTCAAAATGGGTTCAAACCCAGCCAAAACCAGTTCATACTAGACAAAACCAGTTCAAACTGGCCAAAACCAGCTGAAACTGGCTCAAACCAGTTCAAACCGGCCAAAACTAGTTCAAACTGGCTGAAACCAGCCAGCCCAAACCAGTTCAAATTCGTCAAAGCCAGCCCAAACCAGTTCAGACTGGTCAAGACCTGTTTAAAACAGCTTTAAACCAGTTCAAACCGGCTGAAACCAGGTAGAGGTGTGCTTCCAACGTGGACAATGTACTGTCCCAAACTTTGGGGATTTGTACAGCTGTTTTCAGAGATACTTCTGGGGACCTGTAAATTTTCAGTTATTCCAAGGTGTTATGATAAGGGGCGAGGTGTTTACTCCTTTCCTGGCCTGTGCTCTGGTCTGTGGGTGACCACAAGCACCCTTTTTTATCTTGGAACTATGAGGAGAATTTGCTCTTCACCACCACTACAAGCTCTACCATGCCAGTGCTCCTCCTCACCCCAGGACTGTGACCCAGATCCAAGCACAGACAAAGCAAGAGATTCCTCCCTCAACACTGACAGAAAGATCCCTGCAATCCTCCTCTGATCAGCCACTGGGTTCCCCCTCAGTCAGTAGGCATGAAGCTGAGAAAGCAGCGTTGGCCCCAGGGCGGTGCTTGGGAACTGGGGCTGAAACCTAGCTTCTCTCTCACTACAGAAACAGACTTTTCCCACTGACCTTCTAAGTTGTCTTTGGCGTTTGTGGTTTGAGAGGTCTGGAAACCACCACAGCTGCCTGTGATTCAGTCCTCTGTGGCCTGTTCCAGGTTCACTGTGGTCTGCATGCCCACACCAAACTGTGCTTCTCTCCCAGCCTGGTGCGATATACCTTTCTGATCGACCATCCGGGTTGTCTTGGGCTGGAAGTTTGTTTCACTCTGTCTTTTTGTGGGTTCTGCTGCTTTAGAATTTGTTTAGAGCAATTTTTTATAGGTGTTTGGAGGGGTTTGGGGGAGAGCTCAAGCAAGTCACTGCTTTCACTCTGCCATCTTGGCTCCGCCCCATAAATGATATTTTCTTGAAAATTCCTTCAGTGTTGAATTTGAAGGTCGCTTCAGACTTTTATACTAGTGGTAAATGTTGATTAAGATGCTGCCTGACTTTTAATGTATATTTCTAATACTTTTATCCAGGTGCATCTATCCTAAGTAAAAAACTGTAGTTCTTCCTTATTGACTTAATCACATTGAGATTCATAAATTTACATTTAGCTGCTTTAGGCAAATTTTGCATTTTTGCCCATTTTATTATTTGGTTTAAAGTGGGAGTTATTAATGGTTTTTTTGTGTCATAGTCTCCTTTAGCATTGTGGTAAAGACTATAGAGCATTCTCAGAATAATGTTTTTAAATGCATAAAATAAAATACATGGGATTACAAAGGTAACTAATTGTGTTGAAATATACCTATCAAAATAATAATTTAATAAAAGAACACAGATTTGAAGTTAATCCTTCTTGATTTAAAGTAAGAATTCTTCTCTTGGGTATTTTCCTGATTCAGATGAAATAACAGTCTTAAGAGGGGAGAGAAAAATGAGTGAGAAAATGAATGTCTTTCCCAAAATACCAAAAATTTATTAAACTCAAACAGTAAAAATAATTATAATGTAAATGATAATATGGTAAGAGTTTGGAGAGCTATAAAAGAAAAAAAATACTATGAAATATCCAGTTGGTGTTGAGGAAAGCTTTGTAAAAAGGAAGTTTATCTGATGGCCTTGGAGAATGACTTTAAGGTCTTGCAAAGCACTTCACGAAAAGTCTGGATTGTAGGTAATGCAAGCAATATTATCTCCATTTTATGGATCAAGCAACTGAAACTCAGAAGCATAAAGTAAGTTCCCCCTAGACATGCCGCTAATAAATATCAGAATTGGGAGTTGAATTTGGGTCTTTTGACTTCTGAAAACCAATACTTTTTTAATCACACTGCTTCTTGAAGAGATTCATATTTCTTCTGTCACCATCAAACAACATTTTGGAGATGTCAAGGGAAGAAAAGATGAAGTGAGGGAGGGAGAAAAAGAAAGAAAGATAGATAGGTAGATAGATAGATAGATAGATAGATAGATAGATAGATAGATAGATAGATAGATTTACGAAGCACCTTCTATGTGCCAGGCACTATGCTGAACACTTTTTACAGATATCATTTGATCCTCACAACAATCCTGGAAGGTAGGCACTATTCTTATCCCCATATACAATTGAAGAAACTGAGGTATAGAGAAGTTAAATGACTTGTCCAGGTCACACAGCTAGTGTTTGAGGTCATATTTGAACCTGGGTATTCTTGACCTCCAGGTATAGAGATCTGGCTGCCTCAAAAAGCACACATTTCATTTTTCTCATATAGAAATTGTAAGCTCTTGAGAGTTATGGATGATGTCTCCTATTGCATTTCGTAGCATTGATTGTTTCCCAGTATAGTGTTTCTTATTAATTTATATCAAATACAAGTGTATATGTGTGTCTATATGTGAATATATGTCAATGTATGTCAAAATATATATGTATGTAAACTTTTCTTGTGTTACAGGTCCGAGTTCTGTTTTCAAAAGGTCCATTCATTGCTATTTTTGCAAGTGACCCACACATTATCATAAAGGCAATTAACCAGAACCTCAACAGTGTACTTCGTGATTCAAATATAAATGGTCATGACTACATGCGCAATATAGTTCATTTGCCTGTTTTCCTTAATAGTCGTGGATTAAGCAGTGCAAGAAAATTTCTCGTAACTGCCACTTCAAATGGAGAAGTTGTATGTTCTGATAGCGCAGGTAAAAACCAAGCCTCTAAAATATTAAAGTTCTTAGAACAGCTAAAAATTCTACTTGCTTTTAAAGAGAATACTTTTAACTTAAATATACTTTGGAGAGTTGTGACTGCTTACTTAAAGTAACAATAACACAGAAGCATTTCAGTGTGTAAATTGTTTGTCTTTGTAAATTATTTTAAGGATTACATGAAGATACTGACAGAAGAGTTTCGCAGAACAGCCTTGGGGAAATGACCAAACTTGGCAGCAAGACAGCCCTCAACAGACGGGTAAGATGCTTGTTTTCAGTCAGACTTCTGGGTTGAAACAAAGGTAAAATGTGTTATTAAAACCTTTTATAGCTATTGAATTATTAGTTTCCAAACGAAATTTATCATTGAATTTCCTTGCAGCAGTTTCAAGTTGGATTTCAGGGACTGTCTGAGTGTAGAGCCATAGTAACTCAATGCTGCTGTATACTTAGATGTGCCCCATCTTGCTCCTTCCATCCTTTTGCTCTCTTCTTTTGCTGCTAGGGAAGAACTTACACTACAGATATGGTGGCCATATCTACCTTCATTTACCTTAAATAAAGCTGAGCAATTTATTGTCTTTTCACACTGTTTTGAGAAGACGAAAGATATAAGGTAGTAAAGAGTTGGAAGTCAAAGGGAATTTCAAGGTCAAGGTAGGTGTAGTTGGAACATTTCAGGATCATATTAATAGAATGTGGTTGCAGCAAATCAAACAGTAGAACATTTCTCATAGTTCTTTAGGATGTAAATGTCTAGTTTACCTGCAGCACCTTTTAGTAATTTCAAGCTCTGAATAAGTACAATAAAACAAGGCCTAGGATTTTGATTGTACACACTGTTCTTCATTCCCCAAAGTCCTCTTTCAGTGTTGGCTTCAGATCAAAGTACTGTCATGAAACAGTTTACCTTATAGGTGAGTTCCAAGACTATTGCTTGTTCAGCATCAGAGAGTAAAAGTTGTGTCATCATACCATTAAATTTGTAACTCATGCTCTGCTTATGTTCTGTGCTGTCTCCCCCAAATCTGGTTTCAGGAAGACCTAAGTTCAAATCTAACCTCACACACTTACTGGCTATGTGACCCTGTGCAAGTTATTTAACCTTTGTTTACTTCCGTTTCCTTAATTCTTAAATAGGGATAATAATAGCATTGACCTCCTAGAGTTGTTGTGAGGATCAAATAATATTTATGAAAAAGAGTTCTGTTGAGTTTTGTTTCCTTTTTCTGATGGTTCCTCCTATTGGTTTTAATTTTTACTTACAACACCACTAATGTGAAAATATGTTTAATAGGAATGTAAATATATAGCCTATATCAGATTGTGCGCAGTCTTGGGGAGGGTGGTGGGGAGGAAGGGGGAGAAAAATTTTAAACTCAAAAGCATATGGAAGTGATTTTCTATAAATCAAAATAAATTAATAAAATAAAGAAAATTTAAAAAAATAAAAAAGTTTAGCACAGTGTCTGGAACATAGAAGGCACTATATAAATGCTTTATTCTTTCCCTTCTTCCCAAAACTGATTCTTGTTCTAGGTCTACCACTAACTTACTCCTTGATATTGGACAAATGTTTACTACTGGTGAGAGGCAGTGTAGGGTAGTGGAATGAGCTCAGGATGTCGATCCAGAGGGCCTAGGTTTGAATTCTGCCTTTTCTGTTGCTATCTATATGACTTGGACCAAATCACTTTAAGTTCTCTAGGCCTTAGTTTTACCATCTCTAAAATGGAGGGATTGGACTAGATAATCTCTAATATCCTTCCCAGGTTTAAATCTGATTCTTTGATCCTGTGATCCTACTGTGGTATGTATTTTGATTTTTAAAAATTACTAATATCTGGCCCTGAGAAAAAGTGCCTTGAGCAGTTAGGATAAGGCATTATACAAACTCAAAGTGAGTAGAATTAGCTATGATTTTCCCTGTTTTAGGCAAAACCAAATAGTAGATGCACAGTAAATATTAATTACATTTAAAGGGAAAATCTGAACTTCAAAACTCAGACAAACCAGGGAGACAAATCATATCTTTAAAGAATGAACTTCTTCAGCAGTTGTAAGGCATGTCTCTTTACAAAATTAAGTATATACATGTTGTATTAACATAGCTCTGTAAATTGAGTCACACCTGTATTTGAAAGTGTTTTTCACAAAATACTTCTGTTATTCAGTAAAAACAAATACTTTCATTGCTACTGTATGTAATTTTTACAATCATTTTGATAATTTTCTGTTTTCTTTTTGAGAATCTGAATTTTTCTGGTAGTAAAGTATTGATCAGAATATTTTCTTCTTTTGAGAGGTAGGCACCATAGCATAGTGGATAGAGAGCCAGCCTTGAAGCCAGGAAGGTACAAGTTCAAGTTTTGCCTCTGACACAGATTGTCTGTTTTATCCCTGGGCAAATCACAGCCTCTTTCTGTTCAGGGCAGCTCTGTAAGAGTATAAGTTGCATAAAAGATGTCAACTTGGTATTTGTAGGAGTTTCCTCACCTGAACGAAAGTGATATAAGAAATTTCTTATACCAGTGAAAGGACAGGTTCAGCCCTTCTCACTGTTCTCTTTTTCAAGTTCCTAGATTCTCTGACTTGTCATATGAATGAATTCTCATTTGCATTGTGTTGTTTTTAGGATACTTACCGAAGAAGACAAATGCAGCGGAGCATTACACGTCAGATGTCTTTTGATCTTACGAAACTATTAGTAACAGAGGACTGGTTCAGTGATATCAGTCCTCAGACTATGAGAAGACTACTTAATATTGTTTCTGTGACAGGTAAGTTTTTTACTCTTGTTCTCTTTACTATAGGAAATAATCTCTGACAGTCTCAAATGACATTTTCAGAAAGATGTTAAAGTAACATAATGTAGTGTGCTTACAAGATTTGCATTGCTAAGAATGCAGTAGAAACTGTTTTTAAAACTGTTTTTCACTTCTTTAAAACCTTGTTCCATAATACAACAAATCCTTAGTGAAATAGCTACACATTTAAAATTCAGCTTATGTTTGGGATGTTAAAAAAAATGTTGATAATCAAACATTTGAAAACTCAAATGGATCTATCATCTCACTGATAGCAGCATTCTCCCCAACCATGTGGATCAAAATCTTTTTGTGTGCTTATTCTGAATGGTTCTTTTTTGGTTCTTTGATCAGTTTACCTCAGGGTTCACTACGTGTGCTATGGGCTTTCCTCAGTTTCTTTTAACATTGTACTGATACCAGGGGATCGTAGGAACTGTCTAATGGTTTTTTCAAATACTTAAGACTGCTGCAGTACAAGATGACCAAGTGTCTCATCAAATAATGATTGTTGTTGTCTTTGAACACATTATAAAATAAAGTTCTCCAAAGAATCAGTGATTTTTTATTCCATTTAGTTGTAATATCCTATTGCCTTCTGTTTTTATTTATACCAAGAATGCTAAGATTTAATGTGATTGAGTTCCCCCAGGGATATGTCCTCTCAATGATCTGTTAGTGTTTCTCTCTCTCCCTCAATTGACCCCCAGCATTTACCTTGTATCTATTGCTTATGTACATAAAAATATCTCTGTGGATAGATGAAAATTTCTTTGAAGGCAGGGACTATTTCTCTTTTTTCTTTGAATACCAAATGCTTAGCACAGTGCATGTATGCAGCATAGTAGGTGAATGCATGCAACATAGTAGCTGAATAAATGCTTATTAATTGATTGATTGGTCACGGGCTAAGGATTTCACATTTAGACTGTTAGCATTTAAGTTAATGTTTATAAATAGTTCTAAAAACCATGTGAATCTTAGCTTCCTTTGTTACCCTTTTGTATCACTTTGTGATTATCCCTGCAGGAATGGAATGGAGCTGGATCATGGGTTACTGTGACCACCAAAAAGTTCCATACTAAGTGTGGTATGGAATTCCCACTTAGTTATTCTGAGCCTTAGAAAATGTCTATTAGAATTATCGTACTCAAAGACTTTCCAGCATTTTAGGACCTACTCTGTTCCCTTGTCATAGATATGAGGAACACAGGATAATTTCCATTTCATGATGAGTCATTACAGTAGGACTTTCTAGAATCTGATTTTGAACTCAGATTAAATTTTATATAAAATTTTATATTTATATAATTTACCATAATAATAATCACATTAGTGTTGGGATTTAATATTTATAGAACTAGTTTTTATAATTATCTCATTCACTGAAAGAACAGAGTTTGAATTTATAGAAGATAATCGATCAGCACAGATTTATTAAGTACCTGTCATGCCCCAACCAGTGAGCTAGACCCTGAGGATACAAACAATAAAGGGAGACAGTTCTTGTGTCATGGAGCATTTATTTTACTCTAGGAAAGATTGCAATATGTTCACAGATAAATAAATACATACATATGAAATAAAAACAAGTGATTTTTTTTTTTGGAGGAAAATGAGAGTGGTTGGAACTAACATAGAAGGCAAGCAGGAAAGGCCTTTAGAAGTTGGTAGTATTGGAGCTGAGCCTGGAAGGGAGCCGAATTCCCAAGCAGTGAAGGTGAAGAGGAGAACCTTTCAGGATGAGGGGCAGTCTGAGTAATCAGGCATCTTGTGGAGAGTAATATGTAAGCAGCTTGAAAAGGTAGTCTGGCTACCAAGGTGTTGCAGTGTATAGAGGGCTGGGCCAGGAATCAGGGAGAGCTGAGTTCAAATTTAGTAGCTTTGTGACTTGATTAAGTCACTTGACCTCTCAGCCTCAGTTTTCTTACCTGTAAAATGGGGATAATAGTAGCACCTGCCTCCCAGGATTGTTGTAAGGGTCAAATGAGATAATATTTGTAAAGCACTTAGCACAGTGCCTGGCATATAATAGGCACTATATAAACACTAGTTATTATAGTAATTATAAAAATAGTAATTATTACCTAAATTGTGAAGAATTTCAAATGCCAAATAAGAGAATTTATATTTTATTCTAGAGTCATTAGGGGGCTTGTTGAAGTTTCTTGAGCAAGAGGAGTGATATGGTCAGACCTGCATCTTAGAAATATCAGAGGTTCATAGATTTAGAGCTGAAAGGGACCTTAGGGAGTCATCAAGTGTAACTCTCTCATTTTCAGCTGAGGAAACAGAATCTCATGCCAGGTGACGTGACTTGTCCAGGATCATGCAACTAGTAAAGTACCAAAAACAGGATTTGAAAATAGATCTTCCTGAGTTCAAGTCCATCTTGCTCTGCACCATGTCATGTTGCCTCTTTCATTTGAGTAGCTCTGTGGAGAATGGATTAGGGAGGGGAGAGATGCATGCTGGGGAACCAATTAGGAACCAGTGGTCCAGGTGAGAGATAATGAGGGCCCCAACTAAGATGGTAGAAATTTGAATGTAGAGAAGATGATGAGTGAGCAACATGTAATGGGGGTAGACTTGGTGAGACTCGATAGCTTATCATTTATTCAGTAGTGAATGAGAATGAAGACTTGAGGATGATGCTAATATATTATAAGCCTAGTTAGCTGAAAAATTGGTAGTGCCTTGACATAAATAGAGAAGGTAAGAGAAAGGGTTTGTTTAGGGGGAAAAATAGTAAGTTCTGTTTTAGACATGTTCATTTTTAGATACATATGGGACATCCAGGTAGAAATGTCTAGGAGACATTTAAAGTTAGAAGGTCATGGTGAGGGTGAAGAGCAAGGTTTGGGGCTGCATGGCAGAGGCAGAGGTGGAATGACATCGGGAATTTCAGAGGTTGTGAATATGGACGTAAAACATTTTAGATGATAGCAAGATCAAGTGTGTGATAATCTCTGTGTGTAGCTGAGGTGGAGTAGCAAAATAAGTGGGAAATGAGTAAGATGAACTGAGAGCTAAGGGGTGTTGATGTGTATGTTTATGTTTCCTAGTTTTATGAAGACAGGAGTTGAGAAGGAAAGAAAGACTGGGTCAGCCACTGAACTCATTGAAGAAAGGAGAGTGGCCTGGAGGTTGTAGATAATAGTTATCAGCATTTTGATTGGGTTGATTAATCCTCAAAGTTGGAGAGATAACTGAATAGTGGAAGTAGAAGGAGAGTCTGAAAGTGGTAGTGAATGAGAGGAACAAGTGAAAGTATAGCAAGTGCCAGCAGGAGTGGCCACAGAGGCTGTGTAGCACCAGGAGGGAGCCAAGTCTAAGAGATCCAGAATATGAAATAAGTAGGAGAGAAAAAAGTTTCTGATAAAAGAAAGTTTGTTACCTACGGAGCACATATTCACAAGAACACGCTTGAAGGGATGGGCAGCTTTGTAATGGGCATTGGGTTGAGGGGAATGAGGATAAGGGAGCAGCAGAGGGCAGTGGAAAACGCAGTTTATATGAAGACAGTTGAGAGTTCGAGATCGTTGGAATGGGGAGGCTATGACTGGGTGGGAATTTGTTAAACATCATTACTGAATGAATTTGGGAAGTTATTAACTTCATTAAGGGCTTGGTATCTGGATGATACTCTTTCACTCTGCTCTGATGAAGAGGCCAGTTGGGGGAATTGGTGGAATAGTGTTCCTCTGCTTTTAACTATAGGCGGGTTAGGCCAGGGGATAAGTGGAGGGAATAGGAAGGAATGATGTCTCTCTGTCAGCTCTGGAAAGGAAGGGTTCCCTGCAAATGGAAAGAGGCTAGCCCAGAGGACCTGCCCTGGGAGTTAGAGGCTAGGTAAAGAATCTTGCATAGGATGGAAGGAATCTCTCTGATCCCCTGTTGAAGGAAGAGGCACAGGAAACTGGCTTGAGGCACCTTCTCTTTTATTGCCCCCCCCCTTTAGATTATTCTTTTGTTCCACACCTCTCCTCACAGATTCTCCCTTCTTCAAGGAACTTATTCTGTAACCTGTCCTTTGAATGTCATTCTATCAAAATTTATCACCCAGTCTAAATCATAGTGGCAATTTCCCCCCTGGCCTTAAGGTCATTCTTCTTCCTTTCTCACATTCTTTTGCTTTTTCCGCAACTGTTCCCCAACTTATACCAGGGGACTTCAGCCTGCATGTTGATAGTTTCCTAACCATCCTAATATCTTATCAAATCTGTGACCAGCTCTTCAGCTCCACCTCAGCTGTGCATAGGTACGGCTCCAGTCTAGATTCACCACCCCCTAAAAAATATTTCACTTCCGTGATCAAGAACTGTGGCATTCCTTTATCTTATCCCAACCCCTTTTAAATTCCCTCTCTCCCTGTGCCTTACCCCTCTTAAATCTATTCTGTATTCTCACAATGACCTCCAATCTCTCCACCCCTCAGTACTTTCTCAAGCCCTTCCCTTTGCACTTACTTCCCTTTCCTCCCTACCTTTTAGTTAACTAGTTCAAACACTACAGTATACTCTAAACTCAAATTCCCTCCCCCCTTATTAAATAGCTACTCTGGATTGCTCCTACCAGCTGTCTTTTTTATTCCATCTCGCATGTTGCTTAATGGAACTGCAGAAAATCATGCTGCTCTGCCGTCTTTGTCTATCACAGATTTAAGTTTTCTAATTCTAGCTAACCTCTGACTTCATCTAGGTAGTCTTTTCATTTCTAGCTGATTCTCTGGGCAAGTCACTTAAATGCTTTCTGTCTCAATTTCCTCAAGTGTAAAATGGTTATAAGTAGCACCTACCTCCCAAGGTTGTTGTGAGGATCAAATGAGGTAATTTTTGTAAAGTGCTTTGCACAGTGCTTGACATGTAGACACTTAATAAGTATTTGCTGAGTGACTGAAGAAGTATCCTGGTTTCACTCTGGCCCATTGCATAGAAAGACATACAGAGTATTTAATACTGGAGAGGATGGTAAGAGATGAAGTGTCATGTCTGAAAAGAGTTTGAGAAGAACAGTTTTATTTAAGAAACAGTTTGTTAATTGTAGCGTAGAAATTCCTTAGAGCTTAATGGAAGTGTAGGTTAGGGGCTACTAGGGAAATGGGAGGAGTACAGCCAAGAGAGAAAGGGAAGAAGTTGTCAGAGTATAGTGTTGGGGAAGTGAGAATTCACCCAGGCATTCTTTGATTTTGTATCATAGAGATGCAGAAATGAGGAAGAGAGTTTGATAGCAATAGTACAGTAGGGTTTTTTTTAGGTGTATGCAGCAATTTCACTTGGGTGTACACTTAGCAAATTTTATTTTTGAAGGTGAATATTGTTTTACATACAATTTTAAAGGCTATCTTACTCATCAAATTAAAAAATTAAAAGTCATCTTTTAAGAAAATTAAGAATTAAACTTTTAAAATGAGACAGTCTGGGTTTTGTTTTGGGTTTTTTTTTGTCATTTGGTTATACCTGGGTATAAACTATTGAGTCAGTTTTATAGTGTAAATAACATGCAAATAAATACTCTATCAGATTTATCAACCCACAGTTTTTTTCCTAATTCTTTTCATGTCTAAGTGCCAGAGCAATAATACACTTAAATCCTTTAAGTTCTCTGCATAATATCTATGAATTGTATTATCACTGTTGTGGTTTTATTTAAATGTTTTCAGGATCTTACTTGTTTGTTTCTTTAGTCTGGGACTAAAATCTTTCATTCATGAGTCCCTGGCTCTTAAACATCTTAGAGATTTATATAATCTAAATGACTTTATTAGCCAGCATAACCTATTTTCAGAAAGCCAGTCTATACTTTAACTTACTGAATAACTTGCTGCAGAGGTCCGCATATCAATCATATCTAAAGTGGGTAGTTTTAGGATTCCTGAAATGTATAGTAAGGTACACATAGTCTTAGGATAGCATAAGATATTATAGTTCTGGAATGAACATTAAAAAAACCTTTTCAGGTAGGTTTATGAGATCTTTGTTTTCATTGTGTATATATATAAAATACAAAAAAAAATCATTATACTAATAGCTATGATCAACTTATAGTCAAATAATTACTTAAAGAACCTAGAAAATTCACCACAGCTAAGATGATCACAAAAAATAAAATCAATGTTGACATACTTGGTGTTTTACTTTGTTTAGAGCAAAGTTAAATTATGTAATTTGTCTTCTGGACAGTCTGCTAATTTTTTTTGCTTGTACTTATGTTAATTTATAAAACATTATATTTTCTTACTCTATAGGACGGTTATTGAGAGCCAATCAAATTAATTTCAATTGGGATAGGCTTGCTAGCTGGATCAACATTACAGAGCAATGGCCCTACCGAACTTCATGGCTTATACTGTATTTGGAGGAAACTGAAGGTGTTCCAGATCAAATGACATTAAAAACCATCTATGAGAGGTATTATAATTGTTAACTCATGCTTTTTTTTTGTCTTTTAAGTTGATTTGTAGTTTCTTTATGTGCTAAAAGTGTTATAGAGTATGCAAAGTGAATATTTGTACATTGAACCAAATTTTCCTTTTGATATTTACTGTAATTTCAGAGTTGTGTTCCCATATATCCTTTGGTGCCAGTATGTAATAGATTCAACACTTTCATGCAGGAATATTTTGCCTTTATTGGTATATAGCACAAATTAACACTTAGTATACATATTCTTGTAGATGGACATATACACTCATGTGAACACACACCAAAATAGATAATAAAATTCTCTTTTCATTGAGCATTTTTATTTACTGCAGGGAGTAATGAAAACAGTCATACCACCCAAACTGCTACTCTGGTTATTTAGAAAAATGTCATGCTTAGAAGACCTATGTGGAAGTGCTTTCTCAAGTAGCTTAGAAAATAGTAATTGTCCCTGATTATCATTAAACGATAAAAGTATTGGTATCCCAATAAATTAAGTGGTATGTTAATTGATAAACCGTAAACATACATGGACCCTAATAAGTTAAAGAAGTTCGTCTAATTTCTTCACCTAATAAGAAGTGTTGACTGACTGTAGTCCTGGCTCTGACGCAAAATAAAAGATTTGTCTGATCTTGTGATTGCCATATTTGGTCAGATTTACAAATTGGACCTTAAGTGAGTATAGTTAAAATGAAGTTTCTCTTTAGTTACTCATCAAGCATTCACTGTGTCCTGTGGTATCTCAGAAATGTTTGTAAGATGAAAAATTACTAAATGAAAAACTCATCCACAGCCACTACCTTCCTTATCCATTTATTTGCCTAGTCTTGTTAATTTTACTCTCTCAAGATGCCTGTCCTCTTCTTACCATTTACAGAGTTACTGTTCTAGTTTAGTACCTCATAATCTCTCTCCTGAACTGCTGTAGTCACCTGCTAATTGGATCCCTACTTCCAACCTGTGTCATCTCCATTTATCTTCCAATAGGCTGCCAAAATAATTTTCATTGTGTGTGTGTGTGTGTGTGTGTGTGTGTGTCTTATCACATGAATACCCTTCTTAAGAAACTTTTTTGACATATTTTTTCTGATAAAGTACAAACTCCCTTTCTTGGCTTTTAAAGTTTTTCACAATTTAACTCCAACTCTCTTCTAGACTTATTTCACATTACTTTCCTTATATTTATTACCTTCTAACCATACTGACTTGTTCCTCCTTACCAAACTCAGAATTTTGTCTCCCACCTGTGTGACTTTGCATAGGATTTCCCTAATGCCTGGAAATGCTTTTCCTTCTTGTCTCTGCTTCTGATGAACTTCAAGGTTCAGCTCATTTTCCACCTCTTATAGGAAACCTTTCCTGATTCCTCACTTTTTGTGCTCTTTTCCTCCTCAGATCACAATCTGTATTTTTTTATCAGTTCATATTTTGTATCATCTCAGTAGAATATAAGTTCCTTGAAGAGAATATGTTAGTAGCACAGTGCCCTGCAGATAGTAAGGGCTTAAATGCTTAATTGAATTGTGGTAATATTGCTAGAAATACTCATGGACATAGTCTTGCCATCATGGAGAGAAAATTATGGCTTTTACCAGACCAGAAGTTTAGAACTTAGAAACAATTAATATGTGGCCATGAAAATTTAATTCTTTTATGAGTTAAGAGTATAGACATTAGCTTTATAGGTTTCCTTTCATTATTAGAGGTCAGTTTCTTATTCTTTCAGTTTCATTTAACAAGTCTGTTAGCCTGTAGGCAGCCTACAAGGTTCTATCCTGGGCCCTCTTTTCTTCTCCCTCTATACTGTTTCCCTTGGGGATCCTTTAAGACCCATAGATTTAATTACCATACATATTCTGATGATTCTTCAGTCTACCTTTCCCACACCAATCTCTCTGCTGACCTCCAGTGTCACATCTCTAGCTGCCTTTCAGATATCTTGAACTGAATGTAGATATCTTAAACTCAACATGTTCAGAACAGAACTCATTATCTTTCCCCCTAAACCATCTTCCCTCCCCACCTTTCCTATTACCATAGAGGGCAACACTATCCTCCCAGTCCCATAAGTTTGCATTCTAAGAGTCATCCTAGATTACCTACTCTCTCTTTTTACCGTATCTAAGCTGTTGCCAAGGCTTTTTGATTTCACTTTTGCAACAGTTTTTGAGCTGCCTTCCTCAAGTCTCTCCCCATAGCAATTCATCCTCTTTTCAGCCACTAAAGTGATTTTCCTAAAACGCAGGTCTGCCTGTGTCATCCCCCTACTCAGTGAACTCAGTTGGCTTCCTTTTACCTCCAAGAATAAATTCAAAATGCTCTGTTTGACATTCAAAGCCCTTTATAACCTAGCCCTACCCTATCTTTCCAGTCTTTTTAAACTATCTGCAACCTGTAATCTTTGATCCAGTGATTGTGGGCATTTCTTAGCTCCGGGCATTTTCTCTAGCTTTACCTCATAACCTGGATTCCTCTCTCTTCTTATTTCTGCCTTTTGACTTCCCTGGCTTCTTTTAAGTCTCAGCAAATATTCTGATCTTCTATAGGAAGCCTTTACCAACCTGTCTTGATTCTAGTGTTCATCCTATATATCTCTTGTTTTTATATATTGCTTGCTTCTTGTCTCACTGACTAGATGGTAAACCCCTCAAGGGCAAAAACTGTCTTTTGCCTCTTTTTGAATCCCCAGCACTTAGCGTAGAACCTGGGATGTTTATTAATTGTTTGATTGATTTTTACCATGCTATGCTTTTACTATTATTTAAGTATTGAAGTTTTTTATTATTTTATTATTTAATTATTGAAGTTTTTTTTAGCATTGACCATATGTTAAATTCATACTTTGTATATAACAGGCAGTTAGTTGTTGAATTAATGAATTGTTCAGAATTGAAGCTGTTAATTTTGTGTGAAGTATAAATTTTCTTTACTAATATATTACTAATAATATTAAGGGTCATATAAAATATTTGGTAGTATTTTATTTCAGTCATAATGTATAAACTTTAAATTCATGTTCTCAACTTTTAGCTAAATGTTTTCTTTCCATTTATGTATTATAAGAATTAAATAAGTGTACACATTAATCACCCCTTAAAAAATAATTTGATTGAGCTAATAAAGTTACTTGAGTGGATATGTGATCTCATCAAGTTGGATGTTCCCTCCAGTTATGCAAATTGTAGATCATAACCCATCCATACCTGTCCATCTTTTGTGACTTTTGTCCATGGTCTCCCATAATTTTACCACAACCTTTGGTTGACCCAAAGGACTGGAAGCCTTTCCTGATTTCTCCTGACATCACAAGAATACCAGTGGAGTACTCTGTCTGGGCTGGGCCCTTGTCATCGCTACCCATTACCACATGACCATTTTCTCTTTCTTAGCATTTTCCTGATGACTTCTTTTATTCTTTTCTCTTTCAAAGTACTTCATTGGTTATGTGTTGTAGCCTCCACAAACCTACACATAGCTCTCCATTGCTCTCTATGTCATCATTTTCAGTTAATTGGAGACTGTACCATGTATCACAGTCATAAGTCAACTCTGGTACAGTATTGGTATTAAAAAGATGAGCTTTTGTTTCTGGGAGATGGTGGGATCATTGAAGCAGCTTTTCAGTTTCTTGAAGACGCTCCATCCTGCTCTCTTCCTCCTTTTTAATTCTAGGCCTACATCATCCATTTGTACTGTCTATCTATACAACCATCTATTTAGATTATCTGTCCAAAAATATGTTATAATCTTAGCAGAAGACATTCTTCATCCACTTAGCTTTTTATTTCTGGCTGAGGAGGCTAAACTTTTTTCAGTGGTTACGTATTTATTTTAGCAGCCATTGCAGTCAGTGCAAAGTTTAATTCTCCCATCACAGTGTCATCTACAAGCAAGAGCATCTGGAGCACTTTGCCATTTAGAGTCCTTCAATTGGACTCTGCACTAGATCACCTCTATTACAGTGGCAAAAACCTTTGAACATAAGGCGAACCCCCTTTTTATGTCTTGCCTGATATTTACTATTAGAGAGTCATAGAACAGCATTATTTCTGTTTTAATATCATTCGAACAATCTTGAATGATTTTGCGCAATGGATGGGAGGCTCAGTGGTTGGAAAAGAGCCTTCAAGGTGGTGTTTGTTCTACACTACCAACTAAGGTATTTTTTCCATTATCAACAAACATTAAGCACAGTGGGAACTTATGTGCTCTACTTCTTTCAGTTAATTTGGAGGTGATGAAGATGTGATTGATTGTAATGTCATTTTAAAAAATATTTTGTTTCCCCAATTACATGTAAAAACAATTTTCAACATTTTTTTAAAGTTTTGAGTTCCAAATTTTATCCCTCTCTCCCTGTGACAGTAAGCAATCTGATATAGGTTGTACACGTGCAATCATATAAAACATTTCCATATTTGTCATTTTGTATAAGAAGACTGGAAGAAAAAGAAAGAATATACTTCAGTCCATATTCGGACAACATCAGTTCTTTCTCTGGAGGTGGATAGCATTTTTCATCATAAGTCGTTTGGGGTTATCTTAGATCATTGTATTGCTGAGAATAGCTAAGTCATTTACAGTTGATCGTCATACAGTATTGCTGTTACTGTGTACAACATTTTCCTGGTTCTGCTCACTTCACACTGTATCAGTTCATATAAGTGTTTCCAGGTTTTTCTGAAATCATCCTGCTTGTCATTTCTTATAGCACGATAGTATTCCGTTACATTCATATATCACAGCTTGTTCAGCCATTCCCCAATTGATGGGCATCTCTTGATCTCCAATTCTTAGCTGCCACAAAAAGAGCTGCTGCAAATATTTTTGTACAAGTAGGTCATTTTTCCTTTTTTTTTTTTTGTGTGTGTGTTTTTGTGATATAGACCTAGTAGTGGTGTTGCTGGATCAAAGGGAATGCACAATAAACTTATTGAGGATATCTTTTGATGTTTGTGTAGATGAGTCATGAATCTTTTTTA